AAGAGATGAAAAGGACACCAGGAAAAGGAAGAAGCCGACACAGCTGGCACTGGACGATCAAAGCTGACAAGAACAAGTTGAGAGAAAGGTATTAAAAAAAAAATATATATATATATATATATATATATATATCCTAATTTTTCTTCATCCACAATGGAAAATATTGTTATCTTCAACATTCGATACCCAATGCTTATTTTTAAAAAATGTATGGGACAAAAAACAAGAAATCACGTATGCCATAGATGTTCTGGAACCTGTTGCTTCTTAACCCTTAAAAAAAAATAAGATGTTGATGATTTTGTTACTTCCTCATAAAATCCTACATGGCTACGCACTTTTCTGTGTTGCCGATTTAGTAGTACCGTATTTCCAGTCCCTTTCGCTATGGACGGAAAATGCTAGTCTTTTGGTGTCTACGACAACTAAAAAGAAGTCCGCAGATTAGAGATCAGGGATGTGTAACTTAAATGATGGAGACGGCCACAATTTTATACTGTGAATAAGTTGCTGGTGACCTGTAGACAATGATTGTCACTGTGGTTCGACAAATGGACCACTGGGGATGTTCTGTTTCGAATGAAATGTTTTCGAGGCCTTGGTCAAACTGAATTCATGTCTGCTCACCACAGAGGAAGCTCAACTAGGACACATACACTATATCTCGCGGGCTCACTGACTGCAGATGAGGAGCGGAACCAGCGACGGTTGAAGTGAGGGGAAACAGCCCAAGTGAATAGGGGTGTGGTCAGAGCACACACACACACATACACACACTCCGAAAGAGAGAGGAGGGCATATAAAAGAGCGGCAGCACAAAGCAGACTTTATCCTGTTCGTCCGTCCCGCTTGCTCTGGCCTCACAGCAAACGCCCATCACCCTGCCCCTTCGCTCGCTCAGCACACCACCTCCAGCGCACGCTCCCACCTCACTCTGACCATGCGGAGGATGAACGGCATCGCTCTCGTCCTGGTGCTCTGCACATCACTGCTGTGCAGTAAGTTACTGATTCGAACATCTTATTTTGAAATGTAGCTTTCTGATTGTATTTGGATTCATTTCACTTTCTTCCGTCGCTCTTGTCATTCACGCATGTGGATTTTGGGTTGATGTTATCTTTATGTAGGTGTCTCTGTTGCGCAGACGGAAATTCAATCGGAAATTCAATTGTTACATTTGTTCACAAGTCGGGGCAGCGGGTCATTTTGTGGTCCCGTCGCCTTGGGGACCAGCCTTAATTTGTAATAACTGGATGCTGGATTTTTCTTTTTCACTGAACCCCTAAACCGATCCGGTTTGGAACAGCACCTTCACTCTGACATCACTCATTCGAGTGTAAAGAGAATCCCCTCAGGGGTTCATAAAGTAGAAAGTTGTCTGAAATTGGTGGGTTATACCATGAGCTGAAGATGTTTGGCAGAATGGTGACCCCGGACACAAAGAGTCTTGCTCAGGGGCAGAAAGTTGCGCTTGAGAATAATTATGCTTTGTATCCTGTAGCGGCCCTGCGGGCGCGTGCATGCTTGTGGCATGCGTGTGTGAGAGGCCACATGCTAATTGCATAGTGACGACTGCATGGCTTTCATGCCACGGCCAGCACCAAATTTCGACTGGTGCTCAAGTCCAGGCTCAATGACTTCTGCAGTGTCAAATTTGGCGTGTCCTTGACCACTACGCCGGTGAGATGAAAATAGCTCAGGAACGACTTGAAAGAGAGAAAAGACCATGAGATGGTTGAACATGCTGCTCGTTTGTAGAATAATGAGGGGAACTGTCTCCATCAGCAGCTTACCAGAGGGCAAATCAATTTACAGGTAGATGGAAATCCAGTTACCGTCTGTGCTCTTCAACACGACATAGTCGATCATCCAAGTATGCTTGCTACCTCCGAAATGAAAGTAACACATGCCTGTTTGCAATTTTTTTTTTTTTTTTGGAGAAAGATTCTCATCGGCGTTCCAAAATTCACATGCTTGTTCGATGTTAATTACATCAACAAAAAAAAATGCGCACCCAGGTCCGTCATGCAAGCACTATTGATAACTATGTGATATTTCTATAATTGACTTTTTCATCTCGTCCTCAAATTTTCAAATTGTCTGTTAATGTGTTCTTGTGCGGTGAAGCCGATTCCTTTCAGAGGCCAGCCTCCGTTCTTCAGTGGGACTGTGATCACACAGACCTGAAACATTGCTGACAATTGGCTTGATTCGGCAGTGAAGTGTGAATATGTAGACTGGGCAGCGTATGTAATATTCGTCAAAATTATGTCACTTGTACAGTCCAACGTCGTTACAACAGACCTCGACGGACAAAAGGAATCTGTACGTTATAATGGTAGTTCATTCTAACCATTTCCAAAAAAATGGCCGCCAACTAGGTTGTATAATACAATATGGACACATAGATGTAAAACCATGAACATGTAATACAGTATAAAACTGACAATTACGAATATGTGTGAACGGTATGAAGAAAAAATGATTTTATATGAGATGAAACAAACAACTGTAGTGTTCCTGCTTGATCTCTGAAAACATTCAGTCAGCAAAAGTTACCCGCCATAGGCAACTGCCAGGGCCACTGACGAAGCCAACTGTCATCAATTTAGGATGTGCTGTGCCTCGAAGCTGTTTACGATCAACTTTCAATTTGTTGGCCTCCAACTCTGCTATGATTTTGTTGCCACTACGGATGATTATCAAAATTGTTGATTTTGCCAATTCATAGTCTTGGCTGAGCTTCGTCTGGGTGACTCCCTCTCAGCCCTCTCAAACAGCGAGATTCGCTTCCGTTGACCAGACATGTTTTCAGACCATACGCTCAGGATCGCGCTGTGCCTCCGGAAGTATAACAATGTATGAGTCGATCAGTAGCGTTGCTAGGCAACGGAGGAAAATCCCGAGCTGTACATTTTGTTCATAAGAAAGGGCGCGGCGGCAGTTAGCATCCCACGATTTGGTATAACAAAGGCCTTTTCACTATTTTGTGGGAAAAAATCTGGTCGTTATAATAAAGTTTACATTATAAAGGTATTTCTTGTAAGCAAAATCGGCAAATGGAAAATGAATTACACGAAATCTGCACTTTGAAATGTGAATGTTATAGGGGTGGAAACGTTGTAAACGGCGTACATTGAAAAGAGCTTCGACTGTATCAACAAACGTGCTGACTGCAAAGTACGAAGGCCAGCTCAGTGTTTGAGGTCAGAGGCCAACATGAAGTGAAGTGACTTCTTCTGTCGTGCTCTTGGCGTGAAACTGCTACAGATCAGGAGGTTTAATTGAATCCACATTACATTTAGTAGCGGTGATGTCATCAGCTGCTCAAGGGCGAGGCAGCTGACCGGCCCATTTTGAACACCACTTTGTTGTATTCACACAAACAAGCTGGATAGCTTGCAGCTCTCAGATGGAATCAACCAATATGTGCAATCAGAAGACGAAGTTAGGCAGATGAAAGCCACTCTATTCATAAGAACAAAGACCTCCGATTTGTGTTGTGGCACCACATCTTCAGCTGACAGATATCTTTAGACTGTTTCGAAACAAGAAGGACATAGCACAAACATGACTTCCAACAAGAGCAGGCAGATTACACAACTTTTGTTGTTCAGTACCGATGTGCAGTTTGTCACACCACAAAGGAAATTAAAGGCCATTTTGAATGATGTCAATCAACCTTGAATTTTTTTCGGGGGGAATATACCAAACTGTTCAAGGCTGTGGGGGCAGGGACCCTGTATCCCCGCTGCTCATCATCTTCAATGGCTCAAGGACAAAGGCAGCTGTGACAGTCAATGTTAAAATGAACCACGCCAAGATATTGGCTCAGGGTTGGGAGTTTCCAAAGTGTGCAGTGCATGTGATTTTTCAGCATACCCTTGCCAGTGATCAGTATGGCCTTTGTGCCCTGAATGTGTATCATGTGGCCATGCAAAATGATGTAAGCTATGGAGACTCAGATAACACCAAACAGACTGAAAAGAGTATTTATAGTGGACTCCAAAATGAAGCTCTCACTTCCATTTTCATGTTCGGAATGATAATGTTTATGTAAAGCAAAAAATACGACCTGCTATGTCAGTACTTTTTTCAGTAAATATAGAGTGCCTCGTGTTTATCATATAGATAGTCTTTTATATGGAAATGTACCCATGTGTCGTGTTTTGATTCATCAATTCAAGTCGGTGCGCCGTTCAGCTGTTGACTAGCAAAATATTGCTTGTTTTCCACCTACATAAGAGACACTTAACTGGGTTTCTTTTCTTTTTACGCTTGAGGAAGATGTCTGGTTTAGTTTGAGGGGATGTGGTTAAAAAGCATCCGCATAATTCTCGTTGCAGATACTGTCAACGCAATTACATCATAACACCACTGTCAACTCAAGTGTGGAAAGTTTTGGGCCTCATTCGGTGAATTCCTAAAACATAAGCACGGGCAGAATATTACCTTGGATTTTCTTGAGGCCATTGCTATTGACCAGCATTCTTTTGGCTCAAACGTTTTGATTGTTAACATCGCGTTCAGATGCTGAAGGGCGTGGGTCTGTTACATAAGCCTTGGCAGTCTTCGGTCAAGCCCAGGGTGTGGGTTTACTTGGACCCAAAGTTACAGCGTGATCTAGCAAAATAATTAAAAGTGGAGCCTGTGCGCCGTCAACGTCCCAATTATCCACAGCCGTCGCTTGCAGCGAGCTGAACGTGTTTAAACTCAAAAGCAATAAACCAAATAGTGTCTGCCATCACTGTCCACTCCGTTACCTCATTTGCCATGTTTTGCGGGTGTGACAATCTCCCTCTGCACTATGTTCATGTGAAGCCAGCAGAAAACATATTTACGGTTAAAAAAACAAACAAAAAAAAAAAACAAGACCTCTGTCACAGCCGGCTCAATGGTCATCCAGGAAAGGGGCCGACTTGGAGAAGTAAATCATCGAGTAACAACATTTACCCAGTGAAACAAGCCTAATGAATAGCAGACTACGCGATAAAGGTTAAACTTTGCCGTTCCAATTACTGCTGTCCCGGCGCGCCTTATTGTTCTTTGTTCCCCAAGCACCCTGCAGCACAGCCACATGATTTAAGCAGTGTAAAGAAAAATACAAAGCACAACAACCTTCTCTTCTCGGGTTTCTCCTCAACTTTTAGAGGACAATTTGATGGGATAGCCACCGCAAGCAGCCACAGTTAATGAGTAGCAAAACAAGAACTTGGAAGCATGTCATTTCCACTTAAAATGGACTTTATCTTAAGTTGGCACGCCACCTCTCATTGGTCGGTCCGCGTGGGACAACCAGGCGGAGGGTTGGTTATCTTTTCAAAGCAAAGATGGCTCACCTCAGGGGAGAAAAGTTTTTAATGAGAATAGCCGAGCACTTTTTACTGCTCTCTATAATGATTGTTCTGTGAAAGCATATTTAGCGCTTCCTAATTGCACATAAGTGCTTTCCCAAAGATGGAACAAGGTGCTCAGATTGGTTACCACCTTCTAAACGCTCACTGTATGACCTCCATATGTGCTTTAGAAAGTTTTTCTTCTGTAGCGGTTTCTTTCCGTGTGTGAGCTCCAGGGTCACAATCAAATCCCAACCTGATCGTTCAGCGTTTTGGGTCTGCGAGTCTTTTTACAACCTTCACCACCCCCACCAACTTAATTTCATGTAAGAGCAGCAGCTGGAATGGAGCAGTCCACATACATCCGTCGCCTCTGACACAGCTGGCGTTTCCACTTTCTTGTCCGCTTACAAAGTGGACAGAAACACTGGTTTTGAATATCACCAAATAGTTCAATGAGTGAATTAGATGTTGGAAAAAAAACCCAAAACAAAACATCGGTCACGTTTCTTTTATCCTTCTTGGGGGCTCGCTCCAACTTGGGATTTTAGAAGCTCCGTGTTGCAGCTCCATAAAGAAAAGGGGCCATATTTTAGCAAAGCTGTATTGCTGTGATTACAGTCAAGTGTATCTGCAGGGGCACTCTGAAATGGGAAAAAGAGAACCACTTCGGCCACCTACCAAGAAAACTATACGGTGCATACAGTATTCCCTCTCACTGTGTGATATATTTGCTTGTTCTGTCCAAAGGCACTGATATATATATACAGCCCGGTCAACACAAATATTTTGTGCTTCATGAAGCTTCACAAGTGAAATAAAATGTTCTCTCTTCAGACGGAGCAACTTCCAGACAGCATATGTAGGTTACAACCGTGTTATATGTTTGCTCAGCCACTTACTGTCTTGGAAAAATTCATGGACCGCAACCCTGAAGCCCGATGAACATTTTTCGACACATGGGTGAGCGTTATCTGTTGTCCACACCGTATTCCCCATCTGCAGGTCAACCCACGGTTGTGGGAGTGCTGTGACAGACACATCCTGTCCAAGGATGTGCATGGATACGTTCCAATACCTGTTGTTGTTAATTCCTTTCCCCAACTCCAAACGGACTTCTATTTGGTTTAAAAACACCAGGGGTGCGGACTGGGTGGAAAAGTCAACTTTTACCACCCATCTGTGTGGGAACAAAAATAGTTGTCAATTCATGTACACGAGTGTATTCAAGGAACCTCTAGGGAAAGACGTAGTGTCATTTTTTTTTTCTGGGACCACGATGTTGGGTTGTGTGATATTACAGAGGAGCATAGTAATGCGGCCGCAACGACTACCCTCAAAACTGTGCTCGGGTAAATGTTGGTTTAGCTTTGAAAGCTTCAGTCATTTTCTTCTGTCAGTATTCAAACAGCATTTTATGACATTATTGCAAAGGTCAACTGCTGGTTATGCTAATTGTTGGCTCTGGAAACTGCTTCTTGTCTTGGAAAAAAAATGCCTAAAGCTTATTGATAGGTTTTAATCTGGGGAAAAAGGTTTATTTGTCATCTGTAATTTGAAGGAAACATTTTGTGATAGAAATATTCCTCAAAGCTTAAGACTCATTTTTTATGCTGGTTAGCTAACTTTTCACCACTAACATTAGAGAATCTTATCTTGCTTTACACCATTTCCACAAACCTTATGAAGCATTGGGGAATAAACCAAAGGCAAAAAAACAAAACAAAACAAAACATTTTGGTGATGAGCACGGACGGAATTTATCTTCACTTATCACGGTTACTCCCGGAGGACAGTTGTTTGGCCTTGGCACAGATCTGCTCACGCTGAATGGACCATTCACATCATTTTTTTGGGACTGTTGAGTTGCTTGGCAGACACGTCAAGCAGACGACCACTTGCAATGAGCAACAGATAATTGTGAGGAACTCAGGATTCTCATGTTGTGGTCAAACGTTGTCTTTCTGACTAAAGCTTAACCAACAACCATTTTGGATACTGGTGACTTCACTTGAGGGGCGAGTTCAAAAAGTGCCAAAGATGAAGTGGTTGCAGCCTCTAAAATGGGATGAGTTACGGGTTCTTTCAGATTTATCTTGAGAAACACTTTGAGCTTTGGCCTTATGGTCATTTAAAAGATCATTTTAAGATGTAGTCTTCACTTGCTTTGTTTTTTTTTTTTTTTGGGGGGTGGCGTTATTTGACACTTGAAGGAGCCAAGATGAAATAGTTGACCCAAAGTGACCTTGATGGTTATATGTAATCGATTCCTGATTTAGTTGAGGAGGTATTTACAAGCAGACGTGGAAGGTCGTCTCAAGGGTCTTCTCTGGACATCTGGAAGCAAAACGGGTGTGGCACAAAAAAGAGAGCCAGGGCGTTGTCTCTGGATTGTCTGGGCGGAGGTCAAATACAAAATCCTTAAGGCTGCTGACGCTTTCCCCTTGTACATGAAGTCACAGGTTTCTCAACATTCCGACGAGGCAACTGATGTGAAAGAGAAGGCAGCTGCCTCACCTTTCCCTCCCCTACTCAAAACAGCTCCAATACCAACAGAGAGGAAGTTGGCTGCCTCTCTTGACAGAATATGCCGCTGGTGTCCCCTAGTCTCTCACAGCATCCCTTTAATCAGGTGTGACAGGATTTGTTTTTGCCGAAATTGCCGCACATGTGATCCATGCGCAAGGGTAGTAGAAATGGTAAAGACGGCACTAGTTCCACATTAGATGATGAATAGTAAGGCATGGGCACCATTGTCTACAACAATGAAAAATATCCATGTTGACGTCCTGTTCGGTTTTCTTTTCGTTTATGTGGCATCCAGAGAAGATCATCCAAGTTGTCGAATGATTGAAAGCCATGGCCCTTCAGATACAAAAGTTGCAGGTCACCATTTTATTATGATAGCGGTCTTACCAATACTATACCGTGTCTCAGGCTCTTACTTGAAAAAAACTCAACAAAACCGTTTTTAGCGTGACCTCACCTTACACGTGAGTAACATCAACCATCTGGTTTGTTATGGGAATGCAGCCCGAATTCACCACTAATAATGCTGTGAAGAAGATCTCACAAGCAACAAGGTGGTCGAGGACTATTTCACAGTATTTCTTCAATCATATTTCTGAAGTGTGTCTTTTAATATGAATTCAGCTTTTAAGTGCTCATTTGGGACAAAAAAAAAAAGATATTGAGAGGCTTGACAGTGCCAGAGCGACGTGTCTGTTTGAGGGCCCACACACACCAGCGTTGTTTAGTCCTGTTGCATTGAACCCCATCGCGTTTATCTCATTGCCACACACCATTTGAGTTAGTGTGAAAGCAGGAGTTAAACACTCGTAGATTATGATAGAAAATATACCATCACTCAAAAAAAACACAAAAAAAATATATATATATTATTTTGCATTCTCTGTGTTTTTTCAAACACTACCCAGATAAAGAACAGATAGTCAGAGGCTGTGACCCTTTGGCAGTTTATTTGCACAGGTACACAGACAATTGGTCTCTGTGTCTTCCAATTAGTTGGAGAACACACAGGCCGGCCTCTTGACTTTTGGTTTGCCAGGTGAAATTGTTTAAACCATCACTCGCCAAACAATCCAGTGTTTACGGCGGCAGCATTGTCTCAAGACGGTGCCACTGGTGCCCAAGTTTGGTCGTCAAACAGAGCTTCAGAGCTGTTGTTCTTTCTCTGCAGACCGTGTGGTGGGCCAAGATGAAGTCGCAACGGATGCGCCAGCAAGTGATCCGGCCGCAGACAACAGTGACGGTAGGTTTCCCCGATGTGGCAATTGTGGAATCGGAATCAGTAACAAAGATGCATTGTGGCTATTTGAAACTAATTCCTATCTGAGCATGTTTTTGTCAGCACTCTCTTGCTTCCAACCTACAACAAATTACATTAAATGAGCCAAAAAGACAAATTCATTGAGTAAATCATGATCGCGACTACAAATACGAAGTACTGTAGATGATTCTTGTGTGAATGCTTGTTGCTATGTGCCTTCAGACAGCAGCTGAGACTTCAACTAAGTGGTGGCACCAAACGTGATAAGCAGCAGAAAATGGATGGAAAGACACACTTGTCTGCACTAATTTGCTCTATCCATGTACTCTCAGTCAGTCCCGGTGTAATGGACTCAGCTGTCCAGCCACAGACCACCGTTGCTCCAGATTCAGGTGTCGCTCCAGTGGCTGAAGGAGACACTGGCGCACCTGCTGAAAATATGCCACCCCCAGAGAACAATTCTCCCAGCGCTGACAACCAGGAAGGCGGAGCCTCGGGCACCACGGCCGGCCCCATTGCTCTTGGTGATGATGGCACATTCGTCCTTGAGTCGTCAGATTTGTCTAACGTCAGTAAAACTAAGGTGAAGAATTTTCAAAAAAGATTCGCTTATGACTTTTGGGTGTGATGTGAAAGGCTTGTGCAACATACAAGATATCTCATGCCACTTCCTGTCTCCACAGCTCGTGGTGGAGTGTGTCGGCAAGGGGGAGATTGATGAGAGGAAAGCTGTCAAGGCTGTGGTCACTTATACTGACTGTGTGGGTAACTCACACTCATCTTTTTCACAATATGACTTTGAGGCAAGAGTGACTAATCGGAATCGATCGAGACTGGAGACTCGGGTTCAATCTTTAGGTTTATTTTGGATTTTGCCAAACATTTTTTCTTTCTTTTCATTTTTTTTCTTGACCAGATAGTTAACACAGGACACACTGTAAGGATGCTGTAGGCAAATGTGTTTGACACAAGTGATTGCGTCGTCTCATATGACACGTATGTTTTAAATCAATTCAAGTCATATCACACCAGTAAGTCTTGAGCTTTTCAGGGTGAATGGTAGTTTTCTCATGCCGTATGGGGCTCCAGGTGCATAGACGTGAACAGTTGACCCCCTCTTGGGTTTAAACTGCAACATTCACAAGGCTAAAGGACCATCTGAAGAAGTCATCTGCTGCAGTCAACTTAAAGCTCAACATGGACTAAGCTGCCAAAGAATGGTTTGTTTACGAAGCACGTCATAAAAGAAGAGCAGATGAATGACTTTACTCCAGGCATGATTGCTCTGGACTCCTTAAACCATAAATCAGAGCCATAATGCATTGCAGCAACGGCTTGTGGAACTTGCTGAACTTCAAATTCCTCATCAAGCATGAGTCCAGTAAGTCACACAAGGCCAAGTTGAGTGCAGGAGACATGTGATGCACCACATGTGACACAGACAGACGCAGAAGAAGATGGCTTCCATGGGAGTGATTGTGTATCACAAATTCAGCTCTGCTGAAAGTTTTTTTTTTTTTTTCCTCCCCGCCTCACAAAATCTGGATTGTGCAGCTGCGGGCTCCGTCCCAATTAGCTGTGAGCCGGGGTTTGCGCACAAGCGTCCCCTGGGAACAAAGAGAGACGCCTGGATCGCATTATAGAAAATGAAGAGTGATCCCAAGTCTTCATTGTGCAATGAGGTGATATCATCGATCACAACTAGGCGGAGGAAAGTCAGCAAGTATTCCATACAGCTGCGGTCTACTTCTGTGACGCACACAAAAGCCTCCATGCCCTGAGAACATTCCGGAAATCGCATTTGTCTTTTGGCCCCAAAACCCCACCCTGAGCAGCAAATGCAAATCAAGATATTTGCACAAACTAGGGAGTGAATATCTGGGGAGATGGGGGGTAACAAAGAGTGAAAACAGAATGGCGGTCCAAACAGTTGAGCAAAGAACTGTCAGTCTTCAACGAATCTCCAAAGCAGAGATGAACTGTAATTTTATTTCTGCATTTTCAGGTGGACACCAAACGGATCCTTCAAAACAGCGGCATCCAGTGTTACATTGAAAAGTGTCACATCAAAGTCTACCAGGACGGAAATAACATCCGAATGGTCAGGAATGATGGTATGAATGAGCCGAGACTGGATAACCGGCACTTTTGTCATTCTGGTGATCATTCGTCATTTCTAAATTCTGTTTTCCTCCCATGCGCAGCCAAACCATATACTTTGGTTGAAGCCCTCAAGGGGGAATTAAAAGACAAGGTAAGAGAGCGCACAAAACTTTATAATAAAGAGTTGGAGACTAACCTAGACTTCGCTGTTGGTCCTTGACCTTGTAACATTTAACCTTAATGGTTTTGGATGGCACGGTACCCGAGTAAATGAAACGGACCCATTTTTTGTTTCAGTCTTCCAAAATATATAACGATCAGCTCAATTTGGTAAAGCAAGAATCCCATTGATTGGTAACAGTTTCTCGCAGTACTGTATACAGTATAGCGCTTGCAGTTGTCAACAGATTTTCCTTGCTGCGTGTGTTTCTCACTCAACCCGCCATAACTCTTTAAGCGTCTCATTGGCAGTATTCACTTTTTCGTTTGCAGTTGGGAGTGACAAATTTGGAGGCGCCACCGTCTTCATCATCATCATCCTCATCGGGTCGCTCTGTATTTGTGGGCATTCTGGTCACCGGTCTGCTGTTGGCTGCCGCCATTGTTGCCGGATTCTGCAAATGCCAACGCCGAACTGAGAGCAAGGGAGTCAAGCTGGTGAGTAGTTTGACATTTCCCCTCTGGACATATATCAGATTTGTTTTCAACTTCAGTAGAAAATCCCTCTATTATATTGCGTGTCTTATTCAGTCAGTTGGTGAGTGATTTGTCCAGGGTGCAAACAGATAATCAAGAAGCTCTGTCTAAAGAAAGTGTTTCCATGAAAATAACACTGCATCCTGAAGTTATTTAAAAAAAAAATTACAAGTTTGTTTTATTTTAACATTATGTGCTTTTATTGTCACAATAATTTTTAAGTTTCTCTCGAGTCTGTGTATCATTTGTTGGTGGCTTGTTATTTTGTCATCCGTTGTTTTGATTATATACAAAAATTATTCCAATGAAAATTATTCCAGATTTTTCAGAATTCAATTTTAAGCTCGGATAAAAAAATCCCAATTGAAAAACAGGCCGCAGATTTTACTATTTAATGGATCAAGTAAATTTGGCCCAGGAGTTTGATAATTATCATGAAAGTTTGTTTTGTTCAAAATGTTTTGTGATTTTCATGAATGAAACACAGCCTGCAAATTGCAAGTTTGAGTTCATGCCCAGATGAAGGGACATGGGGAAAATGTCCTTGAAAAATAGAAAAAATCACTATATGTGTTGTGTAGTAAGAACTCCACAAAAATATGAAACGTTTTAACAACCATCCACAAATCAAATACATGTACTGTGTAGCAGTCTGCAGACTTTGAAGTACAATGAAAGCAATGCAGAATACTGCTTCTTAAGTTAGATAGATGCATCACAACCATCTCATCTTAAATAAAGTTAGAATGTCTCAGTATCCCTTGTTTGCCAAGTCACCAACTTCTAAAGTAGATCTGTGGCTTGAATTCCTGTTGAGAAGTCTTCCACTCGTAACACTATATAAGACACGTTATATGAGAGAGAGAGAGAGAGAGAGAGAGAGAGAGAGAGAGAGAGAGAGAGAGAGAGAGAGAGAAACATGAAGAAACTTAAACTCAGTTGTACTCTGGACTAGATGTATGTATAGTTTCAAATATATATATATATATGAAACAAAGATGAAAACAAAGGATAGTTTTGCAATAGTTATGTTAGTTTTTCATTAGTCTTGTCAATGTAAAATGTAGTTTCAGTTTTATAATTCCAATTTTTTGTTCACTACAATAACCTTGATCGACACTCACACACACACACACACACACACACACACACAAAAAGAAAAAAAACGATCTTTTGCCTTTCAGTCAGTTTCATGTTTTATGGTGTTTACAGGTGTCAATAACTGTTTGCTGCCTCAATTAAAGAGACACTTATCATAAATACTGTTGCCGGAAAGTCGACAGGAAAAAAAACATCGTTTTCTGACTTATTTTCTACATTTCAACATGCGATTAGGTGAATTTTTGAATGCCTGACCAGCATTTTAATGTGTGTGACATGCTTGTGCTCCACTTGCAGGCAGAGGAGGCTTACCCAGTGGATCAGGAGAACCAGGGCAACACCCTGGTGTCCGTGGCTCCACTTAGCCCCCCGACAGAAACCCAAGACAAACCCAATGTGAACGGGGAAGCTCCCGAAGCTGACAAGACGGAGCCTCCTCCCACTAACGGCCACTCCGCCACCAAGACTGCAGACACCGAACTCTGAACCCCTCTTCGCCTCACACACACACACCCACGCACGCACGCACGCACGCACGCACTCACGCACGCACGCACACACACACACACACACACACACACACACACACACACACACACAGGCCAACCCAAAGTCAGATCCAACTATGAAATCATCAGGGAAACCAACATGGCTAAGGCCACCTATCTTCCTTTCTTTGGCTGGGTCCTCCAACAAGCACCAGGAAATCGAGTCGGATCATGACGAAGTGGGCGACGGTGGATGTTAACGATGGCTCAGTTCCTAACTTGTTGATGACACTTGAGCTAGAGATGGTAGATGAGCGCTTTTGGGTGGGACCAAAATGAATTTTGCCGTGAATCACCCCCTAACGGGTCCCGTGAGGGCCGCAGCAACTCCGTACAGTCGACACCCATCAGCCGGCGCGTCATCAAGTTCGGCGCTCCACCTTCCGCGAGAACATATGACACATACGCGCTCGTGCCTCGGCCAATGACGAAGCTCGGTCCCCTTGAATTATTGAGCATGTAGAAGTGTGAAAGTGTGCGGGTATGTGTGTCATCCTGATCCCTGCAGGCTTCTTCTGCTAAACCGTATGTATGCATGACTTCATGTGGTCTTTTCCCACTCTAATGTAAATGTGTAGGTTTTCTTCTGCTGAAGTTCAACCTCATCGTTTTCGTCACCACAACAGTCATGTTGCCAAAGTGCCTTCAGAGGTAGGCTGCAATTCACGAGAGGAACTGACTGTATAAACATTGAACTTGGCAAGGCTACTCATCAGTGTTATTTTCATTATACTGTACTGTGTATGCGATTTTATATCAGTATTCTTATGAGCGGTGTGATGCAATTGTTGTCTTGTTTTGTTTTGTTTTTTAAATGCTACTAGCTAAATCTGTTATTTTGCTCCAACGTGTCAGTTTTCACTTGAAAGCTGTTGGACAACATGAACACTGTGGCATTTAACAAAGCAAACAAAGTACTTGTTGGTGCAAGTGTGTGATTTTTTTTCTCTTACATTTTACTTCCAAGAGACTCAACACAGAAGGAAAACTACTGTTATAAATGTTAAACTGGAACCCAATTTGACTTGATTTAATTTTGTATCATGTGTTTACTCACATTCCACTGACTGTTTTGTTTCACAAGCAGACACTTTCAATTGGATTTGAGATCAAAAAAGTCAAATAAAAGTCAGACTTTTTTTATGATGTGGTTCTTCTTGTTTTATGGACAAAGCCGCTCTTTTAATTGACACTTTGTCTTCAATGGCGATGGGTCAAGTGAAGATTGTTGAGATTTGACTAAAACTGAAATATTCACTAATCCAGAGATGAACTTTCTCTTTATTTTTGTAGTGTTTCAACTCCTGCCAAATTAATCACTATAACACAATTATTCCAGCATTATTTTGATATTATGTTTCTATCAAATGTACAAACAACAACAACAACAAAACTTTTGCCAAGGCATAGTGGCCACTAAGCGGTTCCTCACCACTGAGTCACGGACATCTCGTCAAGGTTCATCCTTAGATCAGCTCTCTAACATGTTCGGTATGTCAAGTCCCGAAGCCCAGAGGGTGACCAGCAGGCTTGTCTCATTGATGACATCACTTCACACTGATGTTTGGGTGTGGCGGAGACAAACTCCACCAGCTGTGTTTTCTCCATGCACACACACGACAGACACGCACAATAAACTCACCCAGTCGTTTCTCTGCTTGTTGTCATACACACACTTGTCACTATTTTTCTGCCAGTCTGGCAGGTGTCTGAATTGTTGATGTCACGTCTCAAATGAATTTCGAGTCATCCAACTTCACCCCCTTAACAGCTCATGCGAGAGCGAGAACAAGAAGCACGTTCACATGAATATATGCATCTCCAGTGTAGGGCAAATAAGAGGCCCCATGGGTGAAATTTGAAAGGTGTAAATCCCTGTGAACATGAAAGAATGTGCAGTACAACCACGTGCGACCTTCAACTGTGCAACATGAGGTCGTCTTATGACGCCCGACTCCACCCACATTAGTATCTCATTCCACTGGCTCTACAAACACATATTTACAACATTACTCCTGAATGGAGTTCGGCCAAGCACTGTCTTCAACCGGGCTGCAAATCTGGGATCAACCTCTGTGTTGCCATTGCAACAGTCCAATGGAAGTGAAATATTTTTCCGACAGCAGCGGAGAAATGCTCATGTGTATTATGGATTCCAGCTAAACTCATGAGACTTTCTTCATCTTAAGGAGCGACTGAAAGATTAAACCCCACTGCTTTTTCTTCAGCTTTGGCGTATTTTCGATGCCACGAGTAAATTTTGTATGAAAGTGCAACACACGCCTCTGTCCCAGCTGCTCAGCACATATAGCCAAGTTTTTCAGTGACGTCACAAAGGTCCCAGAGAGCTCAGTCCACCCTTCGGCCTCCACCCTGCCGACTTTTCTCCACCTCTGCTCTCCTTCGCCCAACCAGGCGTAGCGCATGTGGATTGGAATCTCTGATTATCAACAAAGCTCAGCTGGTTCTTTTTTGTGTCCTGTCCCTCCCCTCAGCGTAGCAACAGCTGCCAAATACGTCATGTTTTGTCTCTGTGTGCCAAAGAAGGCCCCTTCTCGACTCCTCTGCGTTCAGATAACATTGGGGAAATGTCAGGTTGGAGCAGGACCCCGAGGTCGCAAGGCGTGGCTGCTTTTTTGAGCCTCTGAGCCTCTTCCAGTTCATGGAAAGGCCAAATGAATGATAGTTTGTGTCATTTTAATACATCAGGATTGGGAATATTACATGAAATCCATTTGCTGTGATGTGTTTCTTCCATTATTTCCTGTTGTTGAGGAAAATGTGATCACAAACACTAAAGGCTGCGTTTCACTGTTCTTTTCCCCTTGAATCTGAATGATGACTTCTGCCCTTTGTCATGAATATTTTAACTTGAGGGCACATTTCTTCTTGTCTTTCTTCAAATTGTTCAACTGTAAAATTGAATGAACTCTATTTTCAAACGCTGATGCATGTCACACCAATTAAATCATAATGTGTTCAGTTTTATTAGACTGATTCAAATCAAGCAAATCCGACATCAACGTGACTACTGACAGGTCTTGGATAATTAATTAATTAAATATATTAATTCAAATTAATCTATGACTCGACAAAAAAACTGATTTTCAAATGGACAACTACTGTAGTTTGGCAATCGAGTAATTGATTGTCACTATTTAACTTAAAACTGTATAAAATCCACTGAATTCAGCCTCTTAACAGGAATTCTCTGCTTTCTGTAGTCCCTCATGAAAACATCATTTGTGTCTGATGGCTGAACAGAGGCGCCGCTGAGTCTTGTACAAGGCTAAAACTTTGCATCACCCACCAACCTCTGAGAAGTTCGGGAATTAATGGCTTCAATTTTGGAGGGGACAAACGCCGAAGCATTTTCAAACCAGTTTCACTCTTTGAGCAAATTTTGTTTGGGAAGGCTTTGTAAACACTAGCTTTCACACACGCTAAAAATACATTTTAAGGTTTTAAGAATGCCAGACACAGCCGGCCACTGCTAAATCATACAAATAGATTACGTTGATGTGTATTGTGAATTACAACAATACTTAACTGTATTTAGAATTTGTTACATGCCAAAGTGTGAAATAGCAAAGCTTGCTGTCATTGTTGCCAAAATGTATTTGTATTTTTGCCCCTTTCACCTTTCTGTGGCAACGCGCTTCATCCTTCATAGGTACTCTACGTTTCTATGGTTTATTAATTGTGATTGTCAGGGTGCGGAAGGTTGCGGACAGAAGTGGACTCTCCAAACGCAGACTTATTATATGTAAAAAAAATATATATATATATATATTGATTGACAGGAAAAAATGGCGCAAAACCAACAAAATACGAACACAACAGGGTAAAACGAGAAACAAAAGGCGCTTGCAAAAGGCAAGGAAAACACAGATAAAAATAGCTTGTCTTAAAAGGACAACACTTATCAAAACTAAATGACTACTTACTGGAAAACGCAGAACAATAAATAAGGACCAAGAAAAATAGAGCAATATCAGGAACGTCGAGAAAATTATACATGAGCAATGGCTTGAGCAAGGCAAATTATCCAACGCTCAGTTGTTGGTAGGACAGCCTTGAAGTAATGGCATGATTGTGATGCACGACAGCTGCACAGCTGAAGTGTATATTGAAGTACAATATACACTATGTGCAGCCTCAACTGCCTCTACTGGCTCGCCGTTTCGGGCGTCCACTTATCAAATTGCTCAAAAGAGCTGGTGTGAGTCACCAACACTCGGTGAATTCCGTTTCACAACAATAGTAAAATGGCCATGGCAAACTACTAATCAGAGGAAAACTGTTTTCCATATTTCACATTAAGAAGAACATCCATTCAATCAGAGGAAATCTTATTTATATATCTAATAATGATGAGCAATCTAGCTGGCCAACTACTGTATCTTGAAAAAGGGCATCCTGGCATTTCCAACCCACATTATTTTGAAACACCTTACAAAAGGACATAAATGATTATACATATAAAAAAAAAATAATAATAATAATGTCAAAGAAGTGTGGCATGGGACCTTTAAACTTACATTTAGAGGTACAGTACTGAACCTAGATGGAATACAGGAATTGAATGGGAACTGCAGTGAATAACTAAAAGTTGAAGTACCTTTGTGTTGTTTTTGTTGCTATATTTTGTAATTGTAACAAGTGAGACAATGTGTTCGAAAAAAAAAGGGATGAACTCTTATCGCGCTCTGAACTCTCATTTGAGTAGATAATTGCTCATGCGGAGCAATATGTCAGAGCAGTTTGTAAAGCACTCAAAATAGAAAGCGTAGATAGATAGCATGCTATTGAATTTTAGAAAAGGGGAGGTGACAAATCTGACACCAAATTGAGATTATTGTGTACACCCCGGATTAAGGATGTTGCATTCTTTCTGAAATGTATATCATCCTATGGGGAATTTTCCCGGGAATAACCAACTGATTAACAGCCCAAAATCTTACAACTTGTTCATGGAATCCATTGACACCAAAGGATTGAGAAACAACAGAAACTATGGTTGATATTACATCTGTTTCCTGCACATTGCTGCATTTCCAAACATCTGCAGGGGGAAACAATCTGGAAGGCATTGTATCTTTTTCCAGTTGTGCTGAGCTGTCCAACACACAGCACGCACTGGACTTCTTTCAGCTGGACTCACACCAATGATTATTTACCAAACTTGGTTTCTGCAGAGCACCCAATTGGATAATCACGCAGGGAATATGCAGTGAAATATTACGGCAAAATTATGAACATACGAGAGTTGGCAGAGTGGTTGCTGAGTGGTTTGTGCTGTATGTGACCCGCAAATCATCACAGCGTTGGACTAAGTAAGTGATTGAGTGTCCTTTAAATACTTCGCGCTCCAGGGACAGAGAATCTACGACAGCATTGTCCCCTGCATCTTATTCATGAATTAAATTGAAAAATGCTACAAAACGCAAAGAACATAATAAAATGTATTGCTTCAAACAGGCAAGCACAGTTTTGAGAATAGGGGTTTATGTTTCTGACCTTCGGTTTGCAGGTTAAATGAATACTCTAAATCAGGGGTGTCAAACTCATTTTTGTCGCAGGCCACATTGTAGTTACAGTCTCCCTCAGAGGGCCGTTATGATTGTGAATTTTCTGGAACCATATAAGTGAGTATGAATTTTTTTTTTGTTTGGTGACCAGTTCAGGGTGAACCGCCCCCCCCCCACCACCACACCCTACTTCTGGCCGAAAGTCAGCTGGGACAGAATCCAGTTTACCAATCATATTTGGTTAAGCATCCGTGAGGGAAATGCCTGTGAACGTGAAGGAAGGAACCCATAAATGTGAGGTTAGCACTCCCCCTGCTGTTCATGAAGGGTCCAATTAAAGGCTAATTCATTTCGTAATAAATTCAATTAGATTTGACGCAGTCACGTGAAAATGCAAGCACAAAATCACCTGGTTCCAATCAGACTTACAATTATATAAATAAATACAGCCGACGTACGAACAACAAAAACAACAGCAAAAACATAAGGTCTCGACATTATCTTTTTATCAAAACTAAGTCAAAAGTAGCCTACAGGCCATCTAAATGTGTTATAGATAGATAGATAGATAGATAGATAGATAGATAGATAGATAGATAGATAGATAGATAGATAGATAGATAGATGAAGTCAGTGGGGTAAATATTATTCCTTCTTATTCTGCTTTATGGAAACGAAATGTTGTGATTAGCTGCTCTGTCTTTGACCCAAATAAAGCCAGAAACGAAGACGTAGCGACAGCGGAAGCTTGTGTGAGTGAACTGCACACACCGCCTTCTTCATCTTTGTGAAATCCAGCCCGCTCTTTGCCTGTTTGTAAACATTTACGTCAAAAGCACGTGACGCCTGCGACGCAATTCCGTGCAATATCCAATCAGAAAGCGGAGGTGTGTTCCCATAGGCGTGGCTTGTTAGTGTTGCCGTGAAAATGTCGTTGCGTAGAGTTTATTTGTCAAGCCACAGTCGCCTCAATAGCAACCGGGAGCAGGATGGGAGGTTCTGGAAGCGGTGTCGTAACTCTTGAGACGCTGTTGCGAAAGATGCGCTCTCGGTAAGTGGTCTCCTTTTAAATGAGGAAGTTGTTTACGTTAAGCGGTATAATTACAAACCAAATTCCCAAATGTGAACTTGTTTGGCGCGCTGGAAGCAAATGTGATATGTGTGAAAAAAAATGTGATTTTACAGTACAGTGCGTTACGTTTTCAATATGACGTCATTGTATGTTCACTTGTGATTCACTTCGAATGGCTCTTCTGGGTTATGAAATCAACAACCCAAATTACGCATGGCCTAATACGAAGTGCGTAGTTGCCAGCGTGTTTTCCCTTACCTTACCCGGAAAGTAAGGCCCAAATATCGACACTTAGATGTTTCCTTCAGAACGGGAACGAGCAGAAGCAGATTCATGTCCCAGGTTGAGCTGACGAGGTGCTGGACGGATGCTTGATGCGAGAGGATGTTGCGCACTTCTATTTACTTCAGGAGTGAGAGGTTGGTGAAGCGCTGCACTGCGTAACGATAGAAGTGATGCTGCTTGACTTGATTTCTCTCCTCATTCACTTTGAATCATATGCTTGGAATTTAAAAATAAAAATACAGATTTCGTAATTTTTTTCAACTGTGGGCTGGGAAACCCTTTTGAGAGTCTTTTGTGATCAAGGGCTCTATAAAAACATTTTACTTGACTAATTGACTCGATTCCATATAAAACTTACCAAATGAATATAGATTTAGCGCACTGGTATCAGTTTATCTAACAAAGCAATTTAAACAGGTCACAAAAAAATTCCAAGTTATTTATGAATGGGCTTTTTTTTTTTATTAAATGGTCTTGGGCGAGCGTAGGTAGGAAATGCTTGAGTGTTTAAACCCCACTTTAATAAATTAGCCCCAGAGTTATTATTTTATTTTTAATTTCGCGGGTAGATACGGTTTTGGGTATGTGATAAACCCAAAATGCTGCAGTGCACAGGCCCCAGATCAAATCCATCCAGAGGTTTCTATGTCATACGCACTTTTTATTCCTGATGTAAACAAAGCTTCCTGGGTGCAGTTGGATTCATGAACACGAAAGGGCGCTGTTTGCTTCAGATCTCTTGCCGGGTCCTGATCTGCTTGAAAGGGAATCAGATCCTTTTTGTTTGTTTGTTTGAGCGACATTTAACATTGCACATCAGTTTAAAACTGTATGTGACTTCATAGCTAATACATGACGACGTGACATACTTAAAAATACAGCAAAAGAAGCTATTATTATTAAAGACTACCATCATAAGGGTAGATGATAATATGAAGGATTATAACAAGACAAGATACTTAGTCTGAGATGCTCTCTATTTTGAAGGTGAGCAGAACCTGTTCTGTGTAAGTGTGTGTGTGTGTGTGTGTGTGTGCGCACGCGCGCGCACGTTTTATCATGGATAAAGGTAATTTTGGCCTGTCCAAGACTTTGAGGCCGCAGTTTGCCGAGCTCTGAGTAAGTGTTGAAACCCACCACACACTGTTTGACATGTCTTGGAATAATAACGGGTTTTCCTCTGGAATCTGTGAAGTGGGTGGAGGCGATGAGGAGGTGGATGGGGAGTCGGGGGGGGGGGGCTCTAATACTTGTTTTTTTCATTGACAGTATGCATATTTGGACTACGAGCTGATGAAAACAGATGAGAACATGTTTAAATTTAAATAGAGGTAAACAGGCACATATATTTATTTGCCCTAACTAAATCCTCTTTTGTTTCTTGGTATGTATCAATGAAATGGACTGGACATCTTTCCAAGAGGGTAATTAACCTAGTTAGCTAATGCTAATTCTACGATCACCAACTGGAGGAGGAATATCACACAAGAGTGTAAATTTGGTCTTACTGTTTTAGAAAAAAATCCAAATTTTTAATGTTATTTGACATTGTCATGCTGTCACAAGTGTAAACTGCTGATTGTTTATACTTTGTTATGTTATGTAGGGTTTGACCTATGGCGGTGAGCTTCGTTTGCTGTGGGAAATGGGACATCATGGGCTCTCCCAGAGGTAGAGGCAGCATGGTCGCATTCAAATGAGAAAGCAAAATTGAAACATCGTCTCCAGGATGCCAAGGTGAGCTTGCTCATCCCAGTTCACCTCAGTTACATTTATAACGTATCACACACACTCACATATGTGAATATTGATGCTGTTAATTCTTGGTGCGCATTATTTAACAGTGTTTCAATCTTGCTGCCAGGACGAATTACCATCATCCGGATAAAGCCTGAACATATCACACGATACTTTTATTTGGTTTTCTTGAACGGTCAGATGTACTGTATGCGATGAAATACTTACCACAATAACTTTAAATTTCATACAAATTTACACTGTATATGTAAATATAGTATGCGTATATGATATAAATTGAGCGACTACCTAAATAGAAATTTATTTTTGATTTAATTTGATATTTTTCGGAAGGAACAACAAAGCTTCAATTTTTGAATAATTAACATTTTCTGTCAAACATTACACGAGATAATAATACATTAGATAAGCATCAGATGAGAACATATTGTTAGCATGACCACTTGTGAGACATATTAGCACCATCCCACATTTTAAGGGCCACATCTACCGTTCTTGTACAAGTTGGTGATGTCCCTTTAAAAGCCGAGTGCTGTCAGGTGATGGAAGAGGCTCGGCCTTACTTCAGAGGGAAGAGTCAGATTTTGTCTTTTACAAAGAGAGAGAGAGAGAGAGAGAGAGAGAGAGAGAGAGAGAGAGAGAGAGAGAGAGAGAGAGAGACACACCTGCGGGGTGGCAAAGTATTTGAAAGGAGAGCAGGGAAATGTGGTGTTTTGGTCCCTTTAAAGGCCCTGTGCTCATGCTCAGCTAGCGAATTTGTCTCAGCGTGATGGAGAGGCTAACAGTGATACAGAAGCACTGAGAATTAAATGCTGCGTCACACTGAAGAAGAGGAACAGCGCGAGCGTGCGCGAGGCCCTGCGTGCACGCGCGCACGCATCTGTGTGGGGTCTGATCACTTTGTGTGTATTTGTGCTGAAAGTGGCAAAGCTAATCGTAGTCGGGCTGTTGCCGGCAGATGAAAATAAAGCACGCGAGATGCTGTGAGGGAGGGCGAGTCAGACACAGGAGAGAGATTTTTTTTTTCTGGATTAGTTACTACGTCACTTTTTCATGTCCGGAGAAAACAAAAAGCTGTGATAACAGGAGCCCACAGTCATGGAGTTTTCCACCTGAAGTGGACGTTGTGGTTTTGGCCAGCTGAGGCTTCCTCGTCTTCTTCCTCCTTGGTAGTTGTGATGTGTTCTTCCTGTCACTAGCTACTAAATGTGCCTGCATGTGTGTTTGTCTTTGTGCGTGCTGCGTAGCTCTAGCTAGCCGGCCAAAGGAGTTTCAACATGGATGCTGAAGATGCACCACAATTGTTTTGATAGGATGGTGAGGTGCGGTTCCAGCAGAAAGCAGGCCGAGCCAAGGGTTAATGGCACACTCTTCTGGAAGCTTCTTAAATGGTGACGAAGCACGGCCGTAGATGTTTGGTCAAGAACTGCCGTGGTGTTGGAGCATGGCTTTTTTTGCCACATCATCTGGAGGGTGATTGCAGTCACGTATGATTTCTCATGGTCTCTCGTGAAGCCATGTTTGTTCACGCCTTCATTGCGTGGGCGTGTCACACGAGGGGGAATAAAGTTGGTGGTACCGGAGTGGAGAAGAGGGAATCCAGCACGGACGACCGCCGGTCGGGGTACTGCTTTACAATTAGATAACAGATTGGCGTCTGTGGTCATGTGACATGTTTTCACCCTGCAGCGCTGCTGGGATTTGCTCAAATCCTTCCCAAGACGCATTCGCTGCTGCGTAGTTAGAAGAGGCGGCGGTGGTGACGCAGTCCTTTCTGGGCTGGACTTCTCGTCACCTCGTTTGGATTTCTCCCATTTCCTCTCTCTCTCTCTTGCTCTGTCATGGAGAGACGGAGCAGTGGGAGGGGCTAAATGTCACAGCTCGGATGAAAGAGAGAGAGAGAGAGAGAGAGAGAGAGAGAGAGAGAGAGAGAGAGAGAGAGAGAGAGAATATGTTGGAGAGCGCTCAGGAAATAGAGGGAGAAAGCGAGGGAAGCTATTTACTCTTCTCTCCTGGTGACTCTGCTTTGGCTTCACTTCCGTTCACTTGTGCTGCACTTCAAGTTGCTGCATCACATGCCGTGGTGCCAAACAGTGCTCATATTGGATAGGAGTCGCTCTATGCTGGCTTTCCAAGGTGCACAGCACAGCACAATTGGTTGGCAGTTGGAGTTGAGCCACTGATTGGTCCAGAATCAACTCTTTCAGAGAAAGGTTTCAAAGTTTGAGGGACGCCTGCATGTGGCGCAGGGGCGTAGTCAGAAATTTTTCACCGCGGTGTGGCCAGGGTGACACAACGCCTCAGTAAAGGGTGGCCTTGTGCGTGTGCACTCATCATTTGCATTCTTGTAATCCCTCTGTAACCGAGAAGTCATTATCATACCATCCACAGTCAGGTTTTCATGAAATGAAATGCACAGATATACAAAACCTTGCCCCACACACTAATACTATAAACAGGGGCAAGTAAAAAGCAACATTTTGCTGAGCTTAATTTACTGTAAGATGCCAGTTTCTTTGCCATTCTTCGCTTCTGTTTACTCATATAGTCTACTTCTATCTCATTCACTGATTTGCTAGTTAACAGCCAAGCAGAGTAATCAATTGTCACGGCATCTGGTGATTAATGGCTCATTCCTTTCAAATTATATCTACAAAGCACAAAGACATGAAAATCTCTTACTTTTTCACAATTCTATACATTGCTTTTTACATTTTTAGAGCTGCAGCTATCGAAAATTTTGATATTCAGATATCCTACTGAAAGTTCTATCAAATTATCAGGTATTTGGATAAAAATTAAACGAACACATTTCCACTTAATAATGAACAGCTAACTGGTTTTAATTTTTGAAGAACCAACATTTTATACTTACATTTAAACTGTGCAAAGCTCTATTTTCCTCTGTACAAACGTAAGTGAGAGTTTAGACAAATTTCTCCCCTGAGATATTGGTCTATGAGACAAAGTGACATCACAACCACAGTCGCGACTTTGCCATTTGAAACAACACACTTGAGTAAGCCTGATTTGTTTAAAAAGTTATCAGCAGGAACGGCAACTGTGTCCGGCTCTCAGCATCAAAGCTTGCGGAGTCATTTATGTCTCATTAAACTGCCTCTGAAACTATGTAATCTGATGGCTCTCTCGACGGCCTATATGGGGCACCTGAGTGCCGCTAGCTGCTAGCACGGCCGACACTAAACGCTGGCAACAGAAACTTCATTATACAGTGTCAGCGCAATTTAAGTCTTTTTTTGTTTTGTTTTGTTTCTTTAAGCGATTGAATGTTACTTCAGGACGACGACGTGTTGTTGACATCTGTAGCAACAGTTTGTGCGGCAATATAACCGTGACTGTGGATGGTTCGATAAGCGATGACTTCTCAGCCAGGTTGTTCGCTTGCTATGAAGTGATAGTTTGATTGACATTAACTGTTAGAATCAAGTGCTCTTTACTGAAGGCAGATTCTTTTAGAATTTTCATTTTGATCAGTTGTAAGCTTGTTATTTAAAAAATGAAGTTACTCTAAATGACTTGTGGCAGATTATCAAGGGGTCGAAGAAAACTGCATCCATGTAAAAATGGCAGTATCAAAATCTTTCCCGAGATGTGGAGGTGGCCAGCGGGCTGGCCACGGAGGGACAAGGGGTGGCCATGACCACTCCTGGCCACCACTTTGCTCCGCCCCTGCTGTGGTGGCATGGACATGTTCTTTAGTGCTAGCCTAGTGTTTCACTGCATAGTCATTAGCCTTGTTCATTCATCCATTCCATAATCGTCATTTTGGAATACTCTTATTTATGAATGATTTTGCCACCGATAATGCTTTATGCAATGATCTGATGGGCATTCAGGATATTTCAAAATATTTAACAAGATGACAAATAGGAAGTATTGTTTGCTTCTCTGAAAAAGCAAAGCAAAAATAACGTGCAGAGCCACGTCAGACGAGCAGGTGTTTTGTCAGCATTCGAACGGTGGCATTCAAAGACTTGTGACCTCACTTGGGCTTGTGTTCAATCAAGACAAGCTACTTCCCATAGTTCTAGTGACACTGAATGTTGACTTAAGAATAGGAATGTATGTGTACACACTCGTTTATAGGTTTCTGTCTTTGCCACGGTCCCATTTTGATTGGTCGCACTACGAAGGCCTGCTGTCTCTTTAAATGTTTTATAAGCGTTACACAACAGATTCAGTGGCACAAAAACATCAAGCGGGCAGCAGGGAGCGTGGTAGTCGTGCACTGTCAGCCGTGCGAAGAAGCCGGTCACCTTACGTACATTGTAATCGGTGTGGCAATTATGTAAAATCACACATACTGGACATGACCTCACAAACAACTCAAACCCAAAAAGAAAGAGGCTTGTCCTGCTCCATCTGATGCGTGATAAGTACTTTTTTGTCTTTCATCTTATCGGGAAAATAAATATCGGATGTTTTGGAGTGAGTTGCTGCACTTCCTTTGTTTACTTTGATCAGTGTTAAAAAACAGAGCTATTTGTGGGAGTTGTCGCTGTCGGCACACACGAGCACACACACAAAATAGGCAGAGTGTATGTGGGTGTGTGTTTTCTGGAGGGATTGTCAGTGGTCTTGAGAAAGAGGTGAGCTGATTTGCACTTGGCAGCCAGTCAGTGACCTGTCGCTACCTGGGCCGGCCCCGCCCTCTCACTGGGCTAGTGTGTGTGCGTCATGGCTCCTGTTGCCAGCCATTGATTTGTACTTCCTTGTGATCACAGAGACTGGAGAGCTTCGCTCGCTCATCTTTGACAATCTGTGCCGTAGCGGAGACGTGAAGCGGCGAGACGGCGCGCGTGACCGAAGAGGCCAGATGTGGAGATGCACGGTGGCGTCCTAAGCTTTTGGGGCCTTTTCATTTTGGATCGAGTGTCGGACTATAAGATGTGGGTGTGTTACATGAGCAGGAAGCGTTCTGGTGCCTTTCAGCAGTTCTCCATGCCATCTCTCAGAACCACCCATCCCCCTGGTGAATAATGGACGCATCCCTTCTCGGATTGCCTTGTATTTTATACACAAAGCAGCCACAAAATTAAATAGACTCTACTTGCACGATCATATGAGAAATGTTGCTATGATAATTAGGGCTGCACAATGTTGATAAAAAAAATATCGTCTTTGCGATAGTGGCCCGTGCAATAAGTTTTAGAAGGGATTTTATGAGATTGAGAGGATTGATACTTTTTATCATGCTTCTTTGAGGTGCATTACTAACTGTTAAGATTTTCACTCACCACTGTGAATTATTATACTCTCAAGTAGGATGACTTACCAACCTGCCATGCATGTTTTCGCAATGGGGGGGACCCACGGAGGCACGACACACAAACACCACACATGAAGGCCCAAGTTTATGTTGTATCCAGAACCTAAATGCTTCCATGAAGCCTTCTATGAAAATATACAACTCAGATTGTTATTGACAAACTACAGTATACTGAATGTTTTGTGTTTGTCTCATTTTGTCCCGTCTTTGAAGGAAGTCCTGGCTGTCTTCTGATGAAGAACACCCCTATGAGTCTTTTGTCATCCAAATGTGCCAGTTTGACTGTAATTTTTCCAAGATTCTAAAGCGTCAAGGCTGTTTTTACCCATGCTAGGATGTTCTCTGCCAGAAATGCCCCCCTTGGAAGCTGGTTTCAGATGGTGGCTTAGAGTATCGTCATCCATCTAGCACCATTTGAAATCAGTGTTCTTGGGGCGGGAGGTGAGAGTCACGTGCCAGTAAAAATCAGCTGTTCCGGCAGAAGCTCCACTCAGTCAGCAACAAGTGGCCAGTGATATTTTGTCAGCCTGGGCCCTTTGTCCTTTCTCCAAGGTTGACCGATTTCTTCTGGTGCTCAGAGTCTGCTTTTGTTTCTAGCACCATTTGAAATCGGTTACAGTGAAGGACACATCTCGTCTCACCATGAATGAACCACTGGAAATAACTTTTTTTTTTTCATGTTCATTTATCCAAGGACAATGTCTGCTACTCTTACAATGAACTTGGACTAATGTGTGAACAATAATTGAATTACATTTGCTTGTGGTGTCGGAAATGTGGTCAAAACTACATTGTGACAGTGATCTCATTAAGTATTGCTCCAGAACAGAGGTGGCCAATCATTTTTTTCCCGGGGGCCAAATGAGAAGCAGAAAATGTTGTAGAGGGTTGGGCCAAAAGTTTGAAATCTACTCCAGGTATCGATTTAATTTCTACTAGAAATAAGTAAATGCCATTGTTTACAGAAGCTGATGAGTATATGTTATTGTTAGATAACGAGAGTGCATTATTTTACAAAAAATGCCCAAACTATTTATTCAGTAATATTACACAAAACAATTGTAATTTAGCAACATTTGTAACTCTTTTTCGGTAACATGAACACGACAATGGTTTCTGATTTTAACTTTCCATGAATCGTAGAAAGGGTTCTGTCAGTCGTCATCTGACTTTCCTGTACGACTGAGAGCCTCCACAAGGAACTTTCCATGAAGATACCACAATTTTGTATGGCAGTAATAATGTAACATAACTCACAACATTTTTGTCACAAATGCCAAAGAATGCAGAAATAAATGTAAGTAAGCGTGTTTCAGTGTTTTGTTTTTTTTCTTGTGCAAGGAGGTAAATCTCGCCTCTGTTGGGCTTCGACAAGTGCACCAAAGCAGGTTGAAAGTTTGAGGTGGAGATGTGAAGCACACATGACAGATACTCATCAAGTAAGAGAGGGTCTGTACCTGGATTTGTTGAACTTCTTTTGATGCTCCGGACATATTAGTGCTGCAAAGTCCACCAAGCACTCTTGAACGAATGCCCCCTTCGAAAATGGCTTAGTGTTCTTGGCGATGTTGTGGGCTATCACAAAGCTCGACCTGGTTGCTGCTTCCCGGTCTGCGTGTAGCTTGGTAAAATAGAATTGTTTTTCTACTTTTGCTAGCACATCTTCGGATATCTGCGCTCTCCCAGCCTCGGTCAAATGTCTTATTTTTCCCCATGCTTCGTCTCTTAATGCCGACTCACGTTATACTCCTTTAAAACGCCGACTGGCTCACCACACGGGTTTACCCCTGACTTCAGTAAATAATTATTAAACAGTTCGTGTTTTCTTGAAACCACAGCCTTCAGCGTCCATCTTTAGGTTATTTTTATTTTTTTTGGGGGGGGAGGGGGGGCGAACATTTTCAGAGTGACCGTTACCGTGACTTGTTGCTAATCACGCGGATTTGGCTAGACTTCCTGTACGTAAACGATGCATAAACACTGTAAACAGGTTTCAAAGTAAAAGTTCAGCTATTTTAGTCCACGCACGATGCACATTTTTGAAAGTAGGTTTTATTTTCTTAATTCCAAACAACATTCCACAGGCCAATAAGAGCCGGCCACGGCCCAACACGCATTATGCTAAACTTTGAAAGTACTAAACCTTTTATTTTCTTAATTCCAAACAACTCTGAGCTGGCCAGGAACAGCTGGGCAGCGGGCTGTATTTGGCGCAGGTCGTAAAATACCCAAGTCTGCTCCAGAAGGTGGCCCTGTGGTCATTTCTAAATCAAAATCACCTTCCTTTCAGAATGAGTGACGAGATTTAGTGTAAAGCTCACAAAGAGCATAACGTATCCAACTGAAACTTACATGAAGCATTTCTGCCCTGGCCAAAGCAAAACAAGCACTACACCAGAAATCACTCTTCAGTCTGTACTGTTCTGTAACCTTTTTAAAATTAATATTCAGATGTCTGGGAAAACACAGCTGCATTACAGTACAACCATTGTCCATACTGCAAAAAAGAACAATGAGAATCATCCATGCAGTGGGATTTATTCGCCACACAAACCGTTTCTCCACTCCAAAATCTTAAAATTTGCTGATTCCGTGGAATTTCAAACTGCATACATAAAGCTAGCCATAATTTACCACCAGTTAATATATCGAATGTTTTTTGAAAAAGAGGTTTTAATTTCAGGGGGAAGTTAAATTTAAAGACAAAACATTCAAGAACTATGAGAAGTTGTTTCTGTCTGTGGAGTGAAAATATCGAACAATTCAAATGAGGAAATAAAATATTTTGCAACGGTACATAGAAGATGAGGGGCTGTCTTCCGCACAGGGTTTGGAATTAGCTGTAGCATGAAAACACGTTAGTGTAATTTTGATGTTATAGGTACAATAAGGTTCTAACTTTGCCAAGTAGTATATTATTATTATTATTATTAAGTGTAGCAAAGGCTCAGCCCGCCCCTTTAGTTACCACGAACGTCTCGCGGTTTTAAGTATTTAAGTAACGCGTTATTATAGTACCTTACTTAAGCATTTAAGTATCGCGTTATTATAGCACAGGGGTGGCCAACCCGCGGCTCACGAGCCGCATGCGGCTCTTTGGCTAGTGCAATGCTGCTCCCGGGCTTTCACACAATTTGTCGAAAACACCTCAGCGATAGCGTTGCCATTCAAACAACCGCGCTTAATACTGTACACAGAACATACTATGTCAGCCTATCAGTAATCCCGTTACTTGATTGACATAGAGGGCAACCAATCAGATGACTGAATCACCGCTCATGCGCAGACAACGGCGCTAAGTGGTAAGTGCTAAACTAGTCAGCGACTTGCCTGTTTTTAAGGCAGGGGTGCCCAATACGTCGATCGCAATCGACCAAGAGCCAGCAGACTGGTCCCAAGTTGACCGCAAGCGGTGGGAGGAGGAAATTGGGGGGAAAAAAGATTTGTGTGTTTAGGTTTCATTTATATTCGGGCACTCAGGCTGTTGCTCGTCGTGGCGTGCATGCATATGTGCGCGAGTGCACGGTCGTGGTGTATTCATATGCTTGCACGTGCGCGATCGTGGGAGGTTGGTCGCTCCAAAAGTCTGTATTTGGGCAAAAAATTGTGTGTGTGTGTGGCTCTTTGCAGTAACACAGCTCTTAATCTCATGCTGGTTGGCCACCCCTGTTATAGCTCCTTGCCAGTTTCCAGGTTTGCGTCATGCTCAATGTAATTCCTGAAGTTCGATCTCAGCCTTGTGTCTTTTAAACTCCTTTGTACCTCCTTATGTCATTGGTGATTCCTTAAGACCTGAGTTCATGACAAAAACGTTAGTACAATGAGGTGTACTTGTCCTGTTAATCAGTTGCGACTTGTGTTCGTGACAAGTGTCTTGTCCAGGGAAACCAAGACAATGAAAGTATTTAAAAAAGTGATGAGATTTATTAAAGAAAGAAAAAAACATGGAGGGACACCATTCACAGATCTGTCAAGGGAGCCTTCTCCCCCTCTGCATCTTGCGCTCTCATTTTATCTTATTGGGAGTTGGTGAAGGCCAGCATTTTGAGCAGAGTAGACTAGTGCATGTGCAGGCAACTTTGCTTATCCGCAAAATAACTGGTCAGCATTTAGAGGTACGGTCAGCATTCAAAAGTACGAACAGGTACTTCCATTTAGCACTGTTATATGTCAAATTGTCATTACAGAAGTTAGCCACATTAGCCTAGCATCGGGCCGCAGTGGTTCGCGGCGATTAACCCGACAATATAGAGGCGTTGTAAGTTCATGTTACTATGTTTTAATGCAGGGGTGCCCATTACGTCGATCGCGATCGACCAGTAGATCAAGGACTGATCCCAAGTCGATCCGAGGTGGAGAGGAAAACAAAAATATTTGTGTCTCTGTGCATGTTAGTAATAATTTTTTGTGTTAATGCACATTGCACCCAAATCATTCTATCAGTCTGACTTTCACAAAAAGTATTTTAAAAAGAAAAGAAAATAAAGCAGGTCATCTTTAATCTACAGTGAAGTAAGACTGCGTCAGCAGAAGTTTTTACCGCTCAGCAGTCTGCAGTTGCAGCTTGTGGTCAGAGTTGTTGCGCTACATCTTTTATCGTTATTATTCTCATTCAGTTTGTTTTGTACAATACACAGAGGGGACGGGCATAGAATGGGAATCTGGAGGGCCGAGAGAAGCATTTTAAAATGGTACGCGTGAGCTACGATCGTTAACAGGCTGCAAAAGTGCGTCGTGTGACTCAGCGTCAGGCTATTGGTCATTATGGCATGCGTGTGTACGTGCGCGGTAACGGGTCGATCGCAGGAGTGGCTCTTTGCAGTAACACAGCTCTTAATCTCATGCTGGTTGGCCACCCCTGTTATAGCTCCTTGCCAGTTTCCAGGTTTGCGTCATGCTCAATGTAATTCCTGAAGTTCGATCTCAGCCTTGTGTCTTTTAAACTCCTTTGTACCTCCTTATGTCATTGGTGATTCCTTAAGACCTGAGTTCATGACAAAAACGTTAGTACAATGAGGTGTACTTGTCCTGTTAATCAGTTGCGACTTGTGTTCGTGACAAGTGTCTTGTCCAGGGAAACCAAGACAATGAAAGTATTTAAAAAAGTGATGAGATTTATTAAAGAAAGAAAAAAACATGGAGGGACACCATTCACAGATCTGTCAAGGGAGCCTTCTCCCCCTCTGCATCTTGCGCTCTCATTTTATCTTATTGGGAGTTGGTGAAGGCCAGCATTTTGAGCAGAGTAGACTAGTGCATGTGCAGGCAACTTTGCTTATCCGCAAAATAACTGGTCAGCATTTAGAGGTACGGTCAGCATTCAAAAGTACGAACAGGTACTTCCATTTAGCACTGTTATATGTCAAATTGTCATTACAGAAGTTAGCCACATTAGCCTAGCATCGGGCCGCAGTGGTTCGCGGCGATTAACCCGACAATATAGAGGCGTTGTAAGTTCATGTTACTATGTTTTAATGCAGGGGTGCCCATTACGTCGATCGCGATCGACCAGTAGATCAAGGACTGATCCCAAGTCGATCCGAGGTGGAGAGGAAAACAAAAATATTTGTGTCTCTGTGCATGTTAGTAATAATTTTTTGTGTTAATGCACATTGCACCCAAATCATTCTATCAGTCTGACTTTCACAAAAAGTATTTTAAAAAGAAAAGAAAATAAAGCAGGTCATCTTTAATCTACAGTGAAGTAAGACTGCGTCAGCAGAAGTTTTTACCGCTCAGCAGTCTGCAGTTGCAGCTTGTGGTCAGAGTTGTTGCGCTACATCTTTTATCGTTATTATTCTCATTCAGTTTGTTTTGTACAATACACAGAGGGGACGGGCATAGAATGGGAATCTGGAGGGCCGAGAGAAGCATTTTAAAATGGTACGCGTGAGCTACGATCGTTAACAGGCTGCAAAAGTGCGTCGTGTGACTCAGCGTCAGGCTATTGGTCATTATGGCATGCGTGTGTACGTGCGCGGTAACGGGTCGATCGCGGGAGGTTGGTTAATCAAAAAGTAGATCTTCGGTCAAAAACGTTTGGGCAACCCTGTTTTAATAGTACAACCGTAGCTCCTTCCCGTCCTGGCGACGACCGGGTGTAATTTGTTTGCAAATGTGTGTCGGCCCTCATTTCATAATCATAAGTGTAGTTAATTTGTGTGACCACTGCATGGTGCCATTAGGCTGCCATTGTTATCTGATTCCTTGTTTGCATCCTCCAGGAATATTCCGAATGTTGTCATAACATTTAAGTTTAAGTTAATTCCTATTTTCTCACATTTGTAGACTCAACCCAAAAAACAGTCATCTTCATCATCTCATTCCGACTCTTCAGCCCACAAAACAATCATCCCTTCATTCCTACTCCTCCTCCTCAGCCCATCATCCCTTACAATCGCCTCAACTAACATCACACCCTATCGTTTGTATTTCCCTGTATTTGCTGAACATCTCCAGGAAAGACGATTGAAAGACCCCTCGAATCCTGTCTCTTCATACCTGTGCTCTGACTGACACACCATCTGGTTTAGTTAGCCCCTGAAACGAATCAGTCCTCACGCCCCCGCCAACAATAAGGATTAAGGTACCGGTACATTATTTAGTCCTATCCTAATAATGAAATAAATGGGGCCGGACGGGGGCAGGAAGAAAGTTTATACTTCCCACTAATCATTTTTCAATGCATACGCAGGTAAGATATTACATATGGTGGATTGATTGCTTGTACTGTAATTGTTTTTTTTTTTTTTTGTCCCTTTGATATTTTTGATGATCTGAATTTTACTGTCCGCCCCCCCCAACAAGTTACTGTGAAATACTGTACTCTCTTTATGCATGTTCAAAATTGTTGAAAAAAAACCCCACCAGAAACATGATGGCAAATTTATTTTTTTTTAATTTCATTTAGCTTCGAAAACAAAAGCTGATTTTAAGCCAATAAATCTGGGAAAATGTGTCAAAGCCATTCAGTAAATGTCAATTTACAATACATTCATTACATCAATCTTTTTTTGTCTTAGCCACAGCAAAACCGCTTGCGACTGACAAACAATGGCTACATAACTTTGCAAGTCTTTGGCAGTACACAATAAATACATCTTTTCCACAAGCTAAAACACTTGGAAGTGCATGAAGGCATAAAGAATACGCCTTTTCCTCCTCAGAAATCCCAATAGTACATTTGGAGAAAATATGACATGTCCGAAGATATTTTCCCCATATATGTACACCCATGATGTACTGTCTGCATTTTAGAGTGTAAGTGGAAATTTGTCAGCCATTTTAAAAAAATTATATTTGCAAGTGAGGAAAATGGTATGCATTAAAAAAAAAAGCGCTGACAAAAAACAGAACTCAAGCACAGTGCTAACTGAAAGGTGTTACTGCTCTGTCATGAGAAACTAATGTGATGTCCACCGGACACAGACATTGGTTACAATTCTCTTTCCATTTCTAGCAGTGTGGTGCCAGCAGGGGTCCTATGGTCACTGTGAAGAAGAAAAGAACCAAATAAATTACAATACAGTATGTGAAAAATGGTCCGCATTCCTGTAAAAAAAAAAAAAAAAAAATGTTTTACAGCAACACAATAAGCGCAGGGGGAGCGGGATTGAGGATGAACATCTCAAAACAATGTTGATACACCATGGACAAGAAATCCCACTGCAGTGTGGGAATGAGAAGTCGATTACCAGTCCCCTCAAAAGTATTTGGAATGGCAGGGTCAATTCCTGTATTGTTTTGGATACTGTATTGCAGGGGTGTCAAACTCATTTTTGTTGCGGGCTACATTGTAGTTACGGTTTCCCTTGGAGGGCCGTTATGAATTTTGGGAACCCATATAAATGTTGAATCACCTCCACATATTACATACACAGCGCACAACAAATTGATGGATAACTAGTTTTAAAATCAGAAGTCAAAAATAATGACTGTTACTGTGGATTACATATGACAATTTGAAATTTGGTTCAGACTTTAGCAAGCATCATGGAACTTGACATGCTTGATTTGCTTTCGCGGGCCACATAAAATGATGCGGCGGGCCAGATCTGGCCCCCGGGCCTTGAGTTTGACACCTGTGCTGTATTGGATACTGAAGACATTTGTGTTTCAGATCAAAAGATAAACATAAGACAAAAGTTCTTAATTTCAGCTTTTATTTCATGCTATTTACATCTAGATGTGTAAAAATATCTCTTGACAGCGTACTTTTGTTTGAAGCCACCCACTTTTCAAGTGAGCAAAAGTGTGGGATCATGTGACAAACGGGTGGTGCCCTTCAGATTGTTGTTGGCTTTGGGCTTCACTTGTGAAAACTGCATTTGCTGTTAATATGAAGTCCAGAGAGCTGTCAATGGTAGAAAAGCAAACCATTTTGAAGCTGAGAGAAGAGGGGAAAATGATCATTGAGTTGGCATAAACATTGGGTATAGCCAATCTTCATAAACTGCCTCAGATTTTTATGGCACCTTTTTCAGACAACCGGACATGCAGAGAGCTCAAAATTGATACATTATTCATGCAATCACACTTTGGTGGCGGTAAACTACATTCTGGGGTCACAGCTGCCCTTGGGCAGGCTGACATAAGCGTGTCTGCCAGTGTGTGCCTTTGGCCCCTCTGACCACCACCAAACATTCACCAGAGTGGCACTGGAGGCAAAGTGGGTGAAGTGTCTTGCCCAAGGACACAATGACACATGACTTGGACAAAGCAGGAATCAAACAGTGGACCCTCCAGTTACTGGGCGACCCACTCTCATCTCTGAGCCATTGCCGCCCTAATACAACAATTGGAAAGTCCTGAACAAGAAAGAACAACACTGCCAGGCTCCACAGAGTAAGAGTGAAGGTATCACAATACACTGTTCAAAGAAGACTTTTGACAGAAGAAATACACAGATCATATCGCAAAATGCAAACCACTCATCAGCAAAAACGACAGGAAGGCTAGATTGGATTTTACAAACATGTGCAGAGATGTTTTATGGACTGGTGAGAACAAGATTAACCTCAACCAAAGTGATGGAAAGGCCAAAGTATGGAGAAAGAAAGGCTCTGCTTGATCTAATGATCCAAAACACACGCCCTCATCTGGGAAGCAATGTCATGGCTGGGGCTTGCATGGCGATTTGCATAAAAATGCATCCAAACAAATCAGGAGCAGCATCATCATGCAACAAAGACATCCATCCATTTTCTAATCTTCTTATCCTTACAAGGGTCGCATGCGTGCTGGAGTCTACCCCAGCTGAGTTCGGGCAGTAGGTGGGGTGCACCCTGAACTGGTTGCCAGCCAATCGCAAATGTAACAAGACTATGACCCAAAACACACTACTAACACAGCAAAGAACTTCATCAGGGGGAAAAGTGGAAGAAGAGACTGAAAGGACAATCGCCAGAAAACAACAAGAACTGAAAGAGGCTGCAGCAAAGGCCAGGAAAAGCATTTCAAATTAGAATGCTACAGTATGGAGGCATCAGTGAGTCGCGGGCTTGATGGCAGTTATTGCATGTGGTTATTGCACCAAAAATTCAATGTTGAAACATTTCCAATACTTTCGCTCACCTGAAAAGTGGCTGTCAAACAAATTGTGCTGAGTTTTTTTACCATTGAGATGTAAATCCTATTAAATAAAAGCTGGGCTTCTGTCTCATATTCATATTTTGAACTGCAACCCAAATATCAGTCAGTATACAACAAAAATCAAAGGAATTGATCTTGCCGTACCACACTATACACGCAACACAAAAACAAAAGGAACTGACCCTGCCGCTCCGATCCTTTTGGAGCAAGCTCTCAGCAGCACCTAGTGTCTTACTGAGAGCACCACTCCCTCCCCATCTGTGGTAGCCACATCATTGGAGCGACCTTTCCGATAGCTGCAATTCAATAATGGGCAGTCACTGGTATGAACACATGAGCAGGCAAAAAAAAAAAAAAAAAAAAGAAGCCGACAAAAGTTGAAACTAAGAGCTCCCAGAGACATGCACACAACAAAAGATAGACTGCAAACACAGAAAGGTGTCCCCACTATCGCCAATTAGCAGTGAGTGAAATGTGTTGAAGTGCTAAGTTAATGGCGACATAAACGATAACAAAATATTGTAATCAGGAATGGCGTGATGAATAATTGCTCATGAGCACACCATCTTGCATGTGTTGACCACACCTGGGATTTCCTATCGCCAACAAAGTGCAGCAGGCTAGCTATCCAGAATGCGCTGCCACCACTTTTAATGTCAGGCTTCTAATTAGCTAAAACAGCATTCAAAGCCTGTGAATGCATTGTCATAGTGGACATTGATTTTGTATTTTCTTGATTTCGTGACACAATAGTAACATTTAAGTTCTCATTTGAACAACAAACATACAATAACTTTATTTACCTGCACTCTAAAAGGCTTTTATTTTACACAATCGGCCTACTTCGGGTAAGAGCCAATACATTTATTCTTCCAGACTATCCACCCAACATAGTTTCATTTACACTGAACTAGGAACTCGAACATCGTAACCTCAAAGCTGTTCCAGCACTGGTGTCACGAATAAAAGAGGAGTTGAAAAAAAAGGGTAAGAAGGCACAGAGATACGAGTAGAGTTGTTGTAAAAGCCTGAAATTCCGTAAAAAGAACAGAGCCACAGAAAGGGTTAGTCTGCATATTTGGAGTGTTTTCAGTCATTCATTCATTCATCCATCCACCCGTCCATCCATCCATCCACAGACAAATGCACTCCCATTCACACCTCTGGGCAAATTTAGAGTCTACAAAAAGAACAGTTTACCCATTTTTGCTCTTTTTGTTGATGAATGTAAGGCCTCCAAAGTAATAGCATCCAACGATAATGATGATAGCTAGTCCAATGATGACTTTGATGACAAAGAAAAAAAAAAAACAACAATCAAGTCTGACTGAATGATCAATCCAACACGCACACACACAAACACACAGTGCATACTTTGAATTAAAATCAATATCCAAGTTACATGGTGTATGAATCAAAAGGAGAAGGAATACAGAATATAGTATGGGAAGTTTACTGTGTGTCAAAGAGAAATCAGAACTAAATGCAACTATTTGTCACAGTTGCAAGAGTGAGTATGTGAACCCTCAGGAATTGCTGTACCCGGATTTCTGCATAAACTTGCAGAGCAACGACAACAATATAAAACGACAGATTTCTGAAAACTAATACTGCACAAACAATTTCACAGTGCAGAGTGCAACAAGTATGAGAACCTCGGGATTTACTCTGTGCTTAAGGCTATTTTGGAAACAATAACCAGTGAAGTGTATATTGTTGTCAGAACCTTTAAGTTAGTGGTCGCCAAAAACATTTGCAGTGGATAGGAGGGCTATAGTAATGCAATGTCGTTACCCCACATAATCAAAACTGCACATGCCTCATTAGACTTTGCATGTACTGTAACGAAGTTCATTGACCATGTTTGGTGGAACTGAAACTTAATTCAAGAATATGCACGCCATACATGGAACAGCCAGACCCCAATCTAATAAATACAGAACCTTGTTGAAATAACACAAGTGTTGTATGTGCTTATAACTCTGAATGGAAACTTACCTGCAAAAGCAATACCCAGAGACATCCCCAAATGATTACCACCATTTTCTAAAAAGGAAAAAAAGCTCTGTGTCAGAAATGCGCAAAACAGCAGTTTACAAGAAACTCATTATACCCCACTTCAAAGATTTCAAACAGAAGACACTCTGACTTACTGTCATCTGGTGTCGGAGGAATGGCTGAAATGGACACAAAAATGCATGTTGCACAATTTTGCTTGAAACAATATTTCTCAAGATTTACACCAACTCATATGGTTCATGTCCGAACCAAAGTAATTAAATTTAAAGGCTTTGAAGAAAGAACAGCAATATATGTCATGCGCTTTTCTACCATATTTAGACAGGTACCTGTTGGTGTCCCTTTGTCAACAGGTTTGGCAGTCGTTGGCCTTTCTATTCCTGTAGAAGCAAAGAAAGAAAATGTGTCATGTCCATCGCAAATGGTCACGTCACCTCTTTTTAAAGTATTGTACTGAATTAGTTCGAGAGTGGCTGCCTTTACAGCAGCTCCTTTCTTTTGTTCTTCTACTTCTTCCTTTCATAACTTTGCTGCTGTGAATTGGAAATTTCTCCATTGTGAGACTAATAAAGGTTATCTTATAATAGCAGCACTTCGGACAATGTTAGATGTAGAAATCTGTTGAAGTCCCTGAAAAGTGAAAACAAACATTTTAGGTATTTCAAATCAAGTTTCAAAACCGTGCTCTCAAATGGTGGGTGTGTCCATTGAATGCAGAAAATTACACCGCAGTGAAAAACGGATGCTTCTTTATCTAACATATGTTAAAAAATAATTAAAAAAAAAACATGTTGTGGTCGCACATGTGCGAGTACGTGAAAAATTGACTTGCACTGTCTCAAATTTTAGGGGCAAAATGCAACTAATTTCGGGGCAGTCTTGAGCCCCGTATTGTCATGTTTCAATGAGTATGACTTTTTCATTTTGTCTCAGCCATTTTGGGTGAAACATTTTTCAAGATTTGATGAAAATATTGACTAGTCTATTTCGTTCATGTGACAATGGTCCACGTTTTAGCTAAACTTTGTCTTCTAACATCAATCATCGGTCAATGGAGGTCCACGTGGTGCAACCATAAGCACTGAAATGGGTTTACCAAAAACACACAGGTGGCCTAACAGACGGCATGCATCTATAATGGAGAAAAAAACTTCCATTTCGGTGTGAGATTCCTCTTCATGCTGTGGGACCGTGAAAGGACTTACGCTGACAAGTTGGAAGTTTTGGTGACCAGCGGCTGTTTATGTCGCACGTCACGGTGGGAGATCCAACCATCTTGTATCCAGAGTTGCACTGGAATGTCACGAATGCCATGTGCCCATATGGGGGCCGAGCACCTGAGAGCACCTCGGCATTTTCAATTTTGATTTCGACACAGTTCACCTCTGCAGGAAAGAAGAAATAATCAGATTTCTGATTATCCTGGAAAATGGGGAGGTGGGTACGAAGGAAACACTCACTGACACAAACAGGAGGATCAGGTTTGAATTGTCTATCAGCAGAACATGATGCTGCTTTGGATCCATTAAGGACATAATCTTTGATACACATGTACTGTACAAAGTCTTCATATTTGTAGATGTCCTGTATAGGGCTGAAAGAGCCTTGAGCCAAATCCCGCGGGGGTTCACAGGTCACCACTGCAAGTGAAAAGTGTCAAATTGTAAAAAGTCATTGGCAGAGTCATGATTGATCAAGCTACTGAAGTCAAATACCTTCACATGATGGTGGGTGGCCACTCCACTTCCCACTGGCCAAACAAATGCGGGCAGGTTCACCAACCAATATGTAACTAATCAGGTAAGAAAACACGAGTTGAAATTCAATTAGATGTCCATCTATTTCCAAGAGCGCTTGTCTTCATTAGGCCAACAAGTGAGTTGGAGTCTATTCCAGCTGATTTTGGCCATGGTTCACTGGTTGCCAATTGCAGGACACATAAACAGTAGATAAATGATTCAAAAATCAGAACTGAAAAAAATGTATAAATAAAACAAAAACAAAAAAAATCAGAGATAACTCTCTTATCTCTGATTTTATATGTGAGGTCTCAATACAGACAGTAGTCACGGGTCTGCTCCCATCAATGTGGGAAATCACTCCACAAAATTGTAACTACAGTATACTATAATCTCGGATTTTATTTAATTTCTTTCACAGCACAAATCAAGTATCTATTGCAATACCATGAACACCGCCCCCCCCACCTCATGTGTGGCCTAATACTCCTTCATACAATCTAACAACAACACAAGTCACAAAGTTAGCAATGATTTTTCTTACCCTGTTTTGCAACTGATATATAATTTGTCACCAAACTGAATCCCCTCAGAATAATCAAGATATCCATTCGACAATTCTTCTGCAGCACCACAGCTCCTCCCTGAAGAAAAAAAAAAAAAAAGATAATTGGGGTGCAAAAAAAAAGTTTGAATAAGAAAATCGGTTTTGATTTCAAAGCTGCTAGTGCATCAAATCAAATCAGTCCACTTTAAAATATATTAAGATACGTATCGAATAGTCTTTAAAGGAACTGCTGCAATTACAGTAATGATGTGTTCATTCATATTGTAAAATGACAACAAACGACTCATTGCATCATTTCTCAAACAGAGTGCATTAAATTGCAATCCCACTGAATTTATTAAAATCTCTTAATTTAAAAAAAATGAACCCTTCTTGAATCGTATGTCACCCTATGAAATGAGATGCACATCAAATAGCCTCATTGGAAAAATGCAACCCGAATTTATATGATGGTTAATTATTCAGGATTCTTAAATCACAAAACACTACCATACATTGCAAATTCATTTCAATTAATAAAAATCAATTCAAACAAAACAACTCACTCTCGCATTCCAGTGTCACAGGACTCCAGGCACCAGCTGTACAGGTAATAGATAGACTCCCCCCAGCCTGCACGTGACCCACAGCACAGGCAAGATTAGCTTTGCTCCCATCTGGAAATATATCTTTAAGTATGTCATCATCCCTCAGGTTCATGTTGTTGCCGAGTGTAGGTCTGGAACATTCTTGAGCTGTAATTGCATAAAAAGAAACAATTAGAACAATGCTAATGTTGACAGCCCTCCAACACCCTCTGCCACTCACCTTGAGCAATCATGGCAAGGCCAAGATAGAACGGTAGCAGAAACAAGGAGGAGACGTCCATGATTGGTTTAGACCAGGGGACGAAACATATCTGTTAAAACTAAAAAAAAAAAAAAAAAAAGACAATAGTTCAGTGTCATAACCGTCAGGTTTATAATATAAATTGACAAATATGCACTTATAGAATGGAAGAGAGGAGACGTCTCTTTATTGTTTTTGTTTGCGAGGAGAGTAGGAAGAAGGCTCCGCACAATTATACCAATAGTTACAACAAACAACAAACAATACCCAAGTGTGTTTGATTTAATGGAGAACAGCATTGTACAGTATACAGTTTCACCACAAAAAAAAATCCCCTCATCTGACCATCTAAATGGACACAATAATAATGTTGAAACAGAAAAAGGGTACTATCCCCCCAAAAACTGTTTTAAAAAGCAGGAAACATTTCGTTTTGGTCTGGGCGAAGTAAACTTCAGAAACTCTCGAGGATGAATGATTTAAAGCAGCCCCTGTTAATTCATCTCGAAGTGTTAATACATTTACTTTTGTGCGTTTTAGATGCCTTTACACAGGACAGACACACCCAAACACGCACACAGGACAACCGATGTTCATTTAAGGTTGAAATATACGATCCAAACAAGAGTGAATTTTAAGGGCAAAGGTCGTTGTTTGGCGGTTACGGACGAATTTATTATTCGGTAAAGGTAAATGTCAAGACCTACGACACACAGCCATCAAACTTACTAGCTAGCGATAAGCTCTGTGGACACGTTCCATTTGAATTATTTCATCAACACCCTAGGGAAAATGTACTAAACCACATTGACTTATACGTATTGAACAACACATCGTGGTGTCGGAAATATTTCTTCGGAACTGCGAAAATTCAGTGCAAGGTTGAATTAGTTGCTGTCAGCTAGCAAAACATAAACCAACATTCTGGTTTCTGGCTGCCAAAGATAGTGCGATATGCCCAACAACATCGCAATGCTAACTTGTTCAAAAATTGGTCAAAACAAAAAAACAGACCAAACAAAAGAGAATCCGGTGGGTATTTGACTCACCCGAAGGTCATCAATGGTCCCAATCGGAAATGCTGCTTTCAAGATGGTGAATTTATAACTCGAAATTGTTAAACAGGAAAAAGGCGAGGTGACCACGTGACTTGATCGACGTCACTCGGCCTCTTGCTCAGGATTTGTCAACTCACCACAGACGTTTGATAAACTCTCCAATGAGATTAGTGACGTACGTTTTGACCCAATCTTTGTTTTAGGTGGGGCTTCTTGACCAATCGTGAGCTATAAAGCAATAAAGGCAACGTTACAGAGGCTGATAAGTTTCCAAGAATTATACTATTAAACTCGAAGTCAGTTATGAATTTAGGAGCAATCCCACAGCGTACTAAACCAATTGTGATGTATGTGTCATATCTTAGTTTTGGATAGTCTAACTACAAATACTGTATTACAATATTTAAGTGCATATTTATGAATCAGTATCTTGCCAACATTGTGAAGAATTACTTGGGTGGCCGACCTGCTTTACATATGTACATGACTAAGCCATTGAAAATGAACTGCATATGTGTAGAATGCTTTCCTATCTTTGTTCATGAATCATTTGTGTTGGTATAGTCATAAATGGGTTATTTGATGAATATGCACCTTGTGAAATGGGCTCATAATGCTCCACACCCTCAACTCACCTTCATCATTTTGTAATCCGCGGATCCTCATGAGAGTCGTGAGCATGCTGGAGCCTGTCCCAGCTGTCTTCAAGCAGTAGGCGGGGTACACCCTGAACTGGTTGCCAGCCAATTCCAGGGCATACATAGACAAACAACCATTCATGCTCACAATTATACTTCGGGACAATTTAGAGAGTTCCATTAACCTGCTGTGCATGTTTTGGGGGAGAAAACCGGAGTACCTGGAGAAAACCCATTTTTTTAATGCATAACTTTCAAGTCAGAGGGCTTTATCGATTCTAATTAATGGTGATGAGATAGTGTAGAGGGGGTATTCAAATCATGTCATGTCTTTATGTTTGCAAGCGTTCCCTTCAGCAGTCTACCATGCCTATCCAATTTAAAATCACTCCACCATAACTACAACCAAATGCAGTCAAATTAATGATATCTTATAAAATTTGTTCAAGTTGTTGATAGTTCACAAGGCTGCAACCAGGTGTCACAAATATTACAAGCACATCAACCCTTATGAAGAGTAAACACATAGTTTATGCAGAGGTCAAAACACCAAAATAACTTTGATGTGATCATTTGGCTTGGTCCATTCAACAATGATTATTATGTGCTTTGCACTACCATTAAAACGCTGATTTGCAATAGTGAAGTTGAGGAACATACACGAACAGTGGAAATGTTAGCACTGTAGAGAATCAAATCATTGCTCTGAGATATCCATTTGTTCAAGATCTTCAGGATACATCCCAATCTATACATTCCTAAACTCCTCTTGTGTGCCCTGAATTGGTTCTTCGCGTTTCCCCTCTGTAATACTGACTGCATCGAGTGACTTTAGGACCCAGTGAGATATACCACAGAAACCATGAACTTCCTTGTTCTTTCACCCTAGTTCCTTGACGTGCAAACTGCAGTAAAGAAGTGCGGCAGTGACAGCAGGCCTTTGCAAGACTCTTGGTGTCCCAATAGTCCGAGACCCGTGGATCAATGTCCTGACATGAATGGTTAACTGAGGCTGTTATGGACACAGAGCATGCAGTCATGGAGCAGCAGAAGGCCTGCATAGTGAGGAACCTACTGAACAAATTGGAGAGACAAGACAATGAGGACAAGGAGTTTGTGGTGAGTGAGGTCTTATAATGCACTACGTATTCCAAAACAGCCTGCAGCAAATTTGCAAGTGAAGGCCAGTTTTCTGAAGGCGATGTAAGATGATTAACTTTAGAGAAGTAGGCTAACTATTCTATTAAAAACACCACTATGCTTCCTCTTCATGCCGTTCAATAACGGAAGGAAGACGCTCAAAGTGTTTGCTTTCAGATTGACAATATGTAATCATCCCACAGCAGGCCCATTTGTTCGTTAGACAACTTGGGGGGAGGATGGGCAAACGTGTCATGCCATGATTGCCGTGGATGCCTCGTCAGATTAAAATGTTCAAAAAAAATAAATCATGGTAGTCACAGTGCTGATGAGAGACATAGTCGGTGCTAGTAAAACATTATGAAGGCAACTAAAACTGACAGTATGTAATAGTGTGAAACAAAACCTCGAGGCTGTCTATTGTTGGACAGGGAGTATTTTGTCTAGATTCTGCCACCGCCTACAACTCTTCTTTCGCTAACCCATGTGTTCAATTTACCCTACAATGCCTGCAGCGGCCTACGGGTACCTGTTTATAACGCTTGACATTGAATTTGTGCGTGTGAGCCGATTAAGTTTCACCTTGGCAGTTAGGTATTAAATGAAATGGCAAATGACAAACAGTCTGAAGCGTCAAACATAAAATCGGCAGCACAAAGGGAGACCGTGTGAGTTTAGAGCTTTGCAAGAGTGCATGTCATCAGAATAGAACTCAACAGACGGAGAGTGAGAGCAGAATGTACAGAACATCATAAAATGTTTTGTAGACATCAAATCAACAGAAATGATCATCGCCCAGCGGCGGCCATGACAACAAGTCATATGCCAGAGGCGCTCAACTGTCATGCCATCACATCCCCCACCACTCCAGGGGAAATAAACTACACTTCTGTTACTTCTTTTTCAACAAATACAAGTTCAATTCCAGGCTCCGTAGATCTGAGAAAAGAGGCTGTCCAACAACAGGGCCAGTGTTTAAAAATCGTGGCAACCATGATCCAGTGATATGGTAAAGCTTTCACAAGGTAGAATGCAACTGGAAGTCCTCTCAGTTTGTCTGTTTTGTAGTAAAATAAGTCACTGATTCTAATCACGCGCAGATGATTCATCTCCTACACTGCCCACAATTGTGTGATGTTCCTACCAAAGACAGAAATACTACAATAATAAAAAGTGTGTCATGCAAACATTTTCACAATTTTTTTTTTCCGCAGAGGTTGAGAAACCAGTCAATTAAATACCGTGATGACAAGACCTACACGAGCAATTCAGCAGAAACTCAGGAAAACATCAAGAAGAACAGATACAAGGACATCCTTCCATGTAAGCTTCATTCCAGGCCTATAATGATGGACAATGAAATATTTCATGTTATTTTGCATCACTACGTCGAAAGTTACCGTAGTTTGACATAACTGGGCCAACTGTGGGGGGTCAACAGAGCTGCCTCTCGAATTGTTACGTTTGCCTGATGTTGTTGTTGAATAACATCTTTCCTAGTTGACCACAGCAGAGTGAAGCTCACGTTGACCACCTCCAAAGATGACACTGACTACATTAATGCCAGTTTCATAAAGGTAAACCAAATATCACTGACAGAGTATGATCATCGTGTTCATATTTTCTGTACGTTTTAAGTACCGGTATGTGAACTTAATGTGACTTGGCTGTGTTTTTATGTGCAGGGAGTGACAGGCACCAAGGCTTACATTGCTACTCAGGGTCCACTACATCACACAGTTCTGGACTTCTTGAGGATGCTGTGGGAGTATGACATAAAAGTACAAGCCACTTATTACCATCTGCGGACAAGCAATACAGTGACTTGTTTTGTCTTTGATTCCTTCAATCACCATCAAAAGGCTTTCTAAAGTTTTTCTTTTGACCTCATCTACCGTTGCCATGTGGTTTAGGATACTCTATCGTAAATTGAAATCTTGGCCAGAACAATTGTCAACATGACTGACTAACTTCTGTGACGAACACACTGACTGATGGTGAATGACTAAACGAATGACAATCAAAACTAATCTCTTGCCTCAACTTTCATGGTGGAGGCAATAATCATCATAATAAAAAGAACCCGGATGCAAGACCTTTAAACGCCAGTTTTCCTTTTTGTTTTTTGCTTTCCTTAGGTTATAGTAATGGCCTGCCGAGAATTTGAGATGGGAAAGGTAAAAAAAAAGATTCCCAATGATATTTCTGTTTCTATTTATTTCTCGGGCATGACCTAAGCATTTTATGTTCTTTGCAGAAAAAATGTGAGCGTTATTGGCCGCATAAGGAGGAGAAGTCAAAGGCATGTGGGCCCTTCATCGTGGACTGTGTGAGTATTCTCCCCTCTAATGATTATTACCAGGCCTTCAAATTTATTCTTTTTTTTTTTTTTTTTTAATTCCACAAACAAAAAGTGAGCAGCAAAACTGAAGGCACTCGTTTGGTTTTTCTGTATAGGATTGTGAGGAAGACAAAGGAGCCTATCTGACGAGGACATTAAGATTGACATATGACAATGTAAGTGATGATGACGATACCCACATGTACTGCACTGAAAAAAATGCTGGTTGCATGTAATCCATTTAATTTCGCTGAGTGGTTTCACAGAATAATACATATTTTAGAAGGAGATGTATGGTATACCAAAAAATATCTGGATTCTGCTGATTTTATTTTGTGCAATCACTTGACAAAATTGAGTAAATTCAGCAGACCATTTTTTTCAGCGTGTACAATTGTGATAACAAAGAGACGGTACTGCGGAAACAATTTCAAAAAAATAAATCTGTTGTATTGGATTTTTATGCTGATTAAAACGAAAATTGTCTGATTCCAAAATTGCAGTTACCGGTATTTTTTTTTTTACCTTGCACATCAAGTTTTTTTACTCGACAGCTTACTCTCCAGATAAGAAAAACTTTCCCAATTAGCTTCTGGTAAGGAGAGTTGATTCCGATTGGATTCATCCCCAGCTGCGTTGCAACTGGGCTGTGCAGTCACAAGTGAGACAGTGCGGTGAGAGGTGTGAACAACTCCCAATAGGTCAGCACGATCAATATCTGTAAACAGAAAGCTAGCATAGCTGGAGTTTAGAGGATAAGGGCTGGCTTTTCTCTTCACTTTGTAAGTTTGTTTCATTTTATTTTGGTTTTTTTTTCAGTTTTCAAAGCTTGTAACGATTTCATCATAGTCTTTTATTTACATCCACATTTATTTCCTCTTTTTTAAGAAAACAAGAATACCATTGCTCAAAAACATGACGTCATAGAGAAAAAACAAGGTCAGATCGGGATTCTGCACCCCAATATTAGATAAAAACAGCTGTCAGACTCACCAAACATTGTGCTGCCCAGTGTTGTTGGCCAAATGTGATTTGATATTGCTGATATGTTCTGAATAATAGTTTGCCGTGTTTTTGTCTTCCGTGTGTCAACTTTCTCCAGCAACACCGAACATTGAAACAGTTGCACTATGTTAATTGGCCAGATCATGGAGTGCCAGATTCTATTCCCTCCATTTTGGACTTGTTGGAGGAGATGCGTACCTATCAGTCCCATGATGACATCCCATTGTGCATCCACTGCAGGTCAGCTTTTTCATTCTACAGTAACAACATCTTCAAGTGATGCTGTTACAAAAAAAATTGACAAGCCTAATTCTCAAAGTGTTTATTGTCAGTTTCAGGAGAACTGCAAACTATAACGACAAAAAAAAAAAAAAAAAAAAAAAACGACGAAGACCATTATTTCCATGTTAATTTTCCGATTTTCCACACAACTCATTAGACTGCTGAGGTGCTTCTATTCTTGTGGTTGATTTGTGTTGATCTTATGTCCTTTCTCAGCTTGAGGTGTAAAGACCCTCCTATTTCTTAAAGACAGGAAATCAACAACCTGTTTCCATTCAGGTTTTACCCACATCAAGACTGTTTACAGCCTTCATCAATATTTTGTTCATATATCCACTCTTTTATTTTATGGAGATGCTATACTGGAAAAAAAAGGTGTGCCAATGCGTAGTCTACCAAAAAATGTATCTGGATCCAGATGATTTGATTTCATGCTCAACTTAAACAGGTCAGAAAAAGCAACTCAGCAAATCATTTTTGGAGCAAACAACTTGCTTGCTTTGTTTTGCTAACCAACATTGTTGCCATAAATGTTACGAATTTATATTTGAAAGTTGTTCCAACTTAACATACTGTTTTTGTCAATTAAAGTGTCACACGTTGCGTGTTGTTGAAGTCCTCATGGCTGCTGTGGTTTCAGTGCTGGATGTGGTCGAACGGGAGTCCTATGCATCATCGATTATACTTGGAACCTCCTCAAGAAAGAGGTCAGAAATGTCTCCCTGCAGCTCTTTCTTTATTTAATCATGAAAGATGATCATAGCATTGAGTTTTTTGTTTGCTTGTTGTTTTTTTAGACAATCACCCCAGATTTTAATATATGTGACTTGGTTCATACCATGAGAACCCAAAGGCCATCTGTGGTTCAAACCAAGGTAGCATCCATATTTTTTGTTCATCTGTATACGCATCTATAAAGCACTTTTTTTTTCACATTTCTTAACCTTAGGAACAGTATGAATTAGTCTATAGTGTCATCAGGTTACTGTTTGAGAGATACTTGCAATCCATGGATGAACAGAGCAGCAAAAATCAGGTGATCAACAAATAGCACAACCCTCACAGGAGATAACACTCAAAAAATATTCCATCAGGATTTCTGACTCGTATTCTTTTGTTAAACCACCAAGCTGACCAGGGGAGCATCTATGAGGGAGCAAGATCTTGGAAATCAGAAGCTCCAATGCCAACGCATCTGTGATGAGGAAATGAACAACACACCACAGAAACAGAAACTGGGTCCTTCTGTTCCAGAAGGTCATCTTAAAGATAGAAACAATCCGCCGGATCAACCACAACTCCTTCACGGAGCCCTAACGTCCCGCCAAGAGGAAATTTTACAGAATGGGGTTCACACTGGCCAAGAAGTGGCTGCAGTGGAGAACATATGGCAGGGTGACGACATTCCATCACCCAAGCCTCCAGCTTCACCCATTGCAGCAGCAGCCTCCATCTGTCTGTTGGTGGAGGACCCCTACTTTGACAGCCCCCCGTTTGACAATGCAGTAACTTTGAGAAAGCCATGGACAGTTGGTCCAATCTTCAGTCATCCCTCATCGTCTCTGAATGACCACACACTGCAGTCTGAGTCAACTGTCACCTCTGGTGAGTGGTCAATCCCTGTTTAGTCTCACACGACGTGAGCGTACTCTACAAGGATGTGCAACAATCCATTGTATCTCCTGTGTAAGCTGGTCAGTGCCCTTATAGACGCTTTCTCAACCCTGCTCCAAATTTTCATTTCATTGTCCCACTTTATAGCAATATTTGAATTTACCGGTATTTGAAATGACAGATGAAATCCTGACAGGCTCAATTTCTTCCACCCCCTTCCCTGTGGCAGGTGCTATAGAACATAAGATCACACAGACAAAGGCAAACATATCTGTGTCAGTGTTACTTAAACTTTATGGATGAATGGCTAATATAAAAAAAAAAAGAAACCTAGATCACACAGACAAAGGCAAACATATCTGTGTCAGTATTACTTAAACGTTATGGATGATGGCTAATATAAAAAAAAAGAAACCTGTTACATTTCAAGGACATCATTCCAAATGTGCTTGTAGTAACTGATGCACTTTTTATTTTTTTGGTTTAATTTCAATAGGAGCTCATACTGATGTAGATGTACCTCCGCCTCTGCCCGAACGAACCCCTGAGTCCTATCAGCTATTTGTTAACACAGGTTGGTATCAGCTGGTTAAACATCTCCGTCGATCTATACAGCCATACGTTTTTTTCTACACCACTTACTCTGTCCCAAGGAAGCTGCACGGAGCCCAACGTAGATGACTTGGGTGAGAGGCTCGATACTGTATACCCTGCACTGATCACCACTCAACCATTCACATCCATATTCACTTCTCAGCACAACTGAGTGTTCAATTAACCAATGGCATTCTGCCCATTTTCCATCGAATACCACAAAATCTTCTAATCCAGGGTTAAGCAATTAAAATGCTGGAGGGGGCCACTTTTTGGTACACGTCACTCGATGTCGTGCTTCATGCACATGCGTGTCACATCATGGACGGGTTGCATTCACATTTGAGGTCGCATTTGTTTTTGCAACATGAACGAGTATATAAAAAGCAGAGATTTAACCAAAATTCTGAATTGGGCATCACACCCTGCAGTGTGAATGTAAGACATGTCTGCGATCTAGCGGTGATTGGTGATAATACAATCAGTTCGGCACCCGCGGATACACAAATGTTCGACTTTTTCTATTTAATTGTTTTCATCATTAGGTTTTCCAAGTTCTGTGATTTTTTTTTCTCCCATTACCAACCGTTTTTCGTGGAAAATGTTTCTTCAATGTTTTTAACGTGTCTTAATTCATCATTAGGTTTTCCAAGTTCTGTGATTTTTTTCTCCCATTACCAACCGTTTTTCGTGGACAATGTTTCTTCAATGTTTTTTAAACGTGTCTCTAAGAACTTGAAAGTACAGTCATACTTCGGTTTTCGAAGTTCCAAAAGGCTGTTCGAAAAGCTATTTGTTCGAAATCCGAAACGATTTTATTAGCCCATGATGAGGGGCTAATACTAATAATCAGATTTGCGTAAATCACAACAAACACGTCTGCTCACAATGAACGCTACACGAGGAAGCATCACTTCCTCGTGTAAGAAAGCCGAGAGGAGTCAAGTGGCATATTCGGGTTTGCTCAGTTTGGTCGAAAACCGGTTTTCGGTCGTAATCCGAGGCGTAAAAAACTCGAATGTTCTGGTCAAAAATCGATTTGGTCGAGAACAGAGACGTTCGAAAACCAAGGTTTGACTGTATGTGCGTTTGTGAAAAAAAAATCACCCCTAATCTACTCAATATGCCTTTGTACAATAGCAAGTTCACCTTAAAGACATCCGTGGTTTTGTGACATATTTTTGTGGTGTCTTCAGAACACTCAAATTCCTCAGAAAGACTAACTATCACCATTCCACCGAGCGAGGTTGCCGAGGCTGTGCAGGGTGACCCCAGGGGTAAGATCTGGCATCATTTTATGAAAGTAATATGACATAAAAGAGCGATTACCTTAAAGACATCCGTGGTTTTGTGACATATTTTTTGTGGTGTCTTTAGACGACTCAAATTCCTCAGAAAGGCTAACTATCACCATTCCACCGAGCGGGGTTGCCGAGGCTGTGCAGGGTGAACCCAGGGGTAAGATCTGGCATCATTTTATGAAAGAAATATAACATAAAAGAGCGATCGCACAAATGTCTCAAATAAACACCACTGTGTATATCCCTAGAAAGTCCCGTTACGCCTGCACCGTCACTTCCAGACAGAACTCCAGAATCATACGAGTTGGCTTCTCATCAAGGTGTCTTTTGTAACAATGTCACCAATCATGTCTTTTGAACAAATAGTATACAGTGAACAATCACGACATTTTAAGCACTTACCTGATATAACGATATCTAATACAAGAGCTGTATTCTTTTGTATTTGATATCATGCTGTGCAAGTGGCCATACTGTTGTGGCTGATGATTGTATTAAAAGATGAAATTCTCATGGACCACGCAGCTCCTGTTGCCAGTCAGCCAGAGGTCACACCGGCAGCAAACCTGAACAGAATTGGCACATCCTCAGAGTGGTCAGGTACTTCAGAGCGAGTTGCCGATTCATTTGAGCGAGAAACAAAGCCTTGGGCGAGAAGTAAGGTAAGTGTACTGTGTTCTTGTAATCTTAGACATCGAGAAACCCTAAACCTATTGCTCTTGTTTTCTTGCAGAGCCTGAGAGTAAAAATGACTTTCTCAGGTAAGAATGTTGTCAAGGTCAGTGAAAGTAAAGAGAATAAAAATGGTCAAATGGAACACTCAGCATGAATTCGGTTCCACACTCAGAGACAATATGAATAATCCCCATGAATGACTCACAACCCCTCTATGGTGCAGTCCATCTTTCATCCAAAATGGATGAATGGATGCAACCAGAAGATGAACAAAAATCTGCTCATATAATAAATGAAATAATGATTTGGAAAGGTAAAGACATTATCAATGCGACTTTAACTCAACATTTTTGTCATTGAATGTGTAATTGTGTATCCAATAATAAACAGATCATTAACCAAAATGTTTTGAATAAGGGTAACCCCTGAAATGATTCAGATTTTATGCAATCTATTAATACCCATCATGTATAGGTTTTTCTCATTGTATTTCTCGTACAGAGCCACTGACTACAGCGTGGCTGTCACATACACCTCTTGAGGCAGGAAGTGGTGAGTATCTTCAGCCTTTAAGGAGCTGCACACCAGAGAACCGAGTTGCCATGCACCTGGTTAGAAAACCTCCATGTTACAATGTTATCAGCTCTTTTTTTCGCTCATCAGCACAAGTTGCAGAGTGCGATGTGAACCAAAAGGCCTCGTTCGCTGATGGTGTGATGTCAGGAGATAAATCAGAAAAGAGCAATGAGAAGGCCCCATCCTGCAAAAAGGTATATATACACACACACACACACACACACACACAAATCTCCACCCAAAAAATGCATGCTGGCTCACTGGATGCTTTTTATCCCTTGCAGAAATTGTTCAGAGACAAGCAAAAAAGTGAGTAATGCTCATTCAAAACACAAAAATATCCTTAGTGACAAAACAGAAATATCTTAAAAGTGTTCAATAAAAATAAATCCCATCACCTTCTCAGCAAAGCCAGCGACTCCGGGTCTACTGCCATCACCTCCAAAGGGAGTTGTAACCTCATTTTTTAAATTTGGTAATCCCAGGCCATCTTCTTAAACATCATACTTATCTGTTTGCTTCATTTCAGTGCAAAACCGTTTCTGTTTTGTTCTGCTTTCCACAGGGTTTGGGAACAGGTTAGGGAAGCCAAAAGGACCCCGGAATTATCCACAAAGCTGGTTCTAAAATATGTTCCTCTTTCCAAGTCAAGTTCTCTCAATATTGACGATTAGTTCTGTCATTAGTGGTCACTTAGACCCACCTGATGGACATTTCCTGAAATTCACTTCTCTAAGACTTCATCTAAAAAGCATCAGCAGATTCCATGTTAATAACTTGATGTGTTTATGCCTCATGACTAGTGGATTTGTTGTTCTTTTTTCAGGGGGTCAATGCTCCAGCAGAAATTGATGAGGCCCCAGTTTTATTTTCTATTTTACATATTTTCTTCAACATCACAGGGTGGTCCACTCCCAGCACGAAATGTCTTTCAATACATTTTTTGGAACGTGGACACTTTTGGTTTCAATTTATGAAGTGTATTAAACCTCTTTTTGAGCACATTAACTCATTCATTTGTCCATGGTTGTTGATGGGCTTTCTGAAGAATTAAGTTTTTTTTCCCCCAAAAATGTAATTAAACAGCTCTCAGGTGTCAAACACATGTCTGTGAAAAGGTTTTGTCAAAATAGGACGAGGGTCAAAGCACACATTCCATGCATGTGTTCAAGCATCATTGAAATTGGCCCAGTAACAAACAATCATGGCTCAGCTTCAGAAAACAGGTGAGATGTGATTGGTTGATACCTGAGCCCTGAGCAACCGTGACGTAATTTTCCAGTAACAGGAAGTGGCAAAATGGCCGCTCCTTGAGATGGCTAAAAACGAGTGGATTTTGCTGCTTCACTCATATGCTGCAAAGGCAATATTACTCAGAGGGCTGTGTGTAGACAAGGCAAGGCGCGTAGAACATATTACTGAGAAGAAAATTTTGGAGTTGACTTCCCCTTTAAGGGAGCAATTCTCTCTCTATCTCTTGTCCGCGCAACATGCTGCTTCAAACGTCCACTCATTGCTTTCCTCTGCGCAGTGCGCACGCATGAGACGAGCCGCTTCAGTTGATCTCGCTGTCTTTTAATGTCGAAAAGCATCACGGGAGATGCAGTTTTTCTTGAACTGCATGCGTACAAACGCTCACGTTCGCTTCTGTACAAGGGACGTCATTGAGGATGCGACAGAACGCCCTCCCTCCACCTAGGGTCATTGATCAATAACGTGAAATATAGATTGATATTGATTTTATATATATATATATATATATATATATAAAACAAGGTTATAATAGTATGTACTGTATATTATGATTATGTTGTATTATTACATTATTACATTTTCTTTTTTTCTTTGATCAGTATTGATAACAATTTAAATTCTATTGTAACTCACTAACTGCAAATTGAAGTCACATCTTTGTTATGCATATATTTGCTCATTGTAGGACAAATAAAGGTTATTTTCTTATCTTATATGAAAACATTATTCATTTGAATGTTTTTAAGAGAAACGAAGGTCACGTCTGAATGTTTGCTACCACCGATCTTAACATATCAACAAACAAATGCTTCTGTTTATTCAGTAAACCTTTATTCATCAGTGCATGATCAGAATGCAAGGTTATTTTTTTTCACCGATTTTATATCTTTTCCTGTCAGTTCCCTTACAAAAATAATGAAACAATGTACAGATGATAGATAGTTTTTCTGCATGACGGCAAAGATTTATACAGGTGCTGTACAATTTAAAAACATTTACAACTAACTGTGACGTGAAAACTATATATTTCTTAAATGTGTTTGAGCGATCCAAGGCCACAGTCTCATACGTGTTAATGGAATACACGGTAAACAGTACAGGGGTCGACCATAACAACGTAGATCACAAAAAAAAAAATTGAGTGATGCCACAGACAGGTTCTTCTGTACATCCTTCAACAGGCAGTCTGATGCTTCACATGGCAACAAGCGTGTGAATTAAAGTGTGCGAGTCACCAGACAACACAGTGTTCAAGAGCAGCAACATCAGTGCAGGTTAAAAATCACCCCAATAAGTCCACAGAGAGGTTATTTATAGAACGTGGGCCACTGGTTGACTTCCTTTGATAAACATTGTGTAATTTTCCACTCCCATTCGAGTCATTCTCAGACAAAGTCAATGATGAGTCACAGAGGAACTCAACACATTAACACCTGACTGAAAAATTTCATGTCCCAAATTCTGTGATCAGAAATCATTCTCTCTCTCTCTCTCTCTCTCTCTGTCTCTCTCTCGCTCTCTCTCTCTCTCTCTCTCTCTCTCTCTCTCTCTCTCTCTCTCTCTCTACATATATATATATTTGAATCTGGATGAAAACCTCAAAAAAATAATTGCTTATGGTGTGTATAATAATCACATTTTTGTCAATTCTCAAGAATTTAAAGAACAAACCTTGACTTGAGATTTTTGACTTGTTGGGAGCAATTTAGTGGCAAATAAAATGTGAGATGAACAAAAAAAACATTTAATTGCTGTGGTGGCCATATTTCTAGTGATAACAGTACCGGTATATCAGCATTGTTTTAAGAATGCTGAAGTCAGAGCCGTCACTTCTTACAATCAAGTTCTGTTAATTCCATTCATCTAAAATATGTCAGTATGTAGTAAACACTTTGATAAATAACGCTCAGATCCAGTATATTAAGTCAACGCAACAGCGATATGGAAAAGCTTGCAAACACATGGTAGCCACATGACCAAAAACACAGAGCTGCAAAGTTGACCCATATGGATTACAGAAGGTATAGATTGTGCAGTTCTTGCAGTTGTCAAACCTTCAGGACCTGTTCACTAGCAATTTTAACATCACAATTTCCCTTTTTGTGTGTGCGTGTGTGTGTATATAATGTAGGCAGATCAAGCTATAATAGATTTCCCCCCCATTGCCAAAACCTTTTTTGTCGCACACTTGTCATTTTAAACTGGTAATGTACACACCCTCTTCCTACCTTTAAGACCTGACAAGTGAAATGACTTAGCATGTTTACTGACAGTTACCATTTCAATAAGTTACATTAATATCAACACAGATGAAACAAATACGAGAACAGTAAGCACAAGTGTCTGTTGATGGGTGTTTCAGAAGCTCCACAAAAGCTGTCAACATGTTGACAAGATCATGAGAGTCGTAACCTCAGATGAGTATGAAAGCGGTCAGCTCATCAATGGAATAGTGTTGTCAAAAAACACCAAAATGACTTGTCCAACACCTAGAATACATCCACAATCAACGGAGAATCAGCCAGCACAAGAATGTGCCTTGAACCTTCACAGTGACTAAAATCAGATCCTTCATCCAAGTCTCACAGTGAATGGGGAAATAGGTCAGTTTCCTTCAAACTGGACTCTGAAATGAACCCCCCCCCCAAAAACAAACAAACAAACAAAAACAAAAAACAAAACAAATTCAGATTCTAAAGCAGATTTCAGCGTGCATGGAGGAACACACATCACCCTTGGCAAACTGAGCCAGGCAAAACTGGGTGAAAGGAAATCATGGTCCATGATTGACTAGATGCTTTCTATGTTGTGTCCACCTGAGACTGGATCTTGCTCGGACTGGGAACCTTCCACGGCCCCGGCGTGATGGGAGGCTTCTTGCTGCTGGACATGCCATTGCAGCCAGGGTCCTGGATGCTACTGCTGGACCCCCTGGGGTCCTTTTTACTCCCATCTTCAGGCAACTTCTGGGACCTACTCTCTTTCTCTTTTACACTCCTGCGGTTCAGCGTCTCGGCACCTGATCCCGACCTCTCCCTGTGTACGTGTGACTTTTGTGCCATTGCCTCTTGTTCAGCCTTTTTGCCCCTCCTGTGTCGATCACTTTCCGTAGTGCCTCTCTCCTGCCAATGGGCCGCAGACTCATCCTTGTACCTTCGCCCCTCCCCGGCCGGTTGCTGGCCCGCTGGGCGGCGCGGGCTTTGGGACTCCTCCTGGTTCCTTAAAGGCACAGCAGGGTCATGTTCTCTCTTGGGACTCTTCTTGGGGCTGGAGGAGTGATGGTCTCTCTTCCCTTCGTGCTTTCGAAGACTGTTCATGTCCTCCAAGGATCCCCGCTCTGTTTTCTTGGGGCTGTGGGACCTGTTGGCGTGATCTGCTCCGCTTTCAGTCGCTCTCTTGGAGTCACTGCGGCTTGTTTTCCTGGCGTGTGTGCCAGGACTGGTGGTACGCTTGGTGGAAACCTGCTGTCCTCTTAATCTGTTAGGTTGACGTGCATGCTCCCTCCCTGTGGCAGGCGAGCCCACTGACCACAGCTCTGTTCTGGAGAAGTCATCAGAGATGGTTACCGGGGGTGAAGATGGGGACCATTCCGAGATGGAGACAGAGGATGGAGAGGCTGGAGATGATAGCTGCTCGTCAGTTACAGAATGTTTGGGCAAGCTTGAGGTTGGAATGATTGCGTTTTCCTTTGAACCTGGGAAACAAGGAGTGGAACATAACATAATTTGTGAGCTGAAAATATAACACACCCTTTATTTTGCACATTCGAGGGAAAAATATCATGCACCAGAGGTGCAATATTGTCATGATGGAAAACAAAAAGCATTTCTTGATTATTATTTTTTTTTTTTAGGACACCAATATTTATCTTAGTAAAAATCCTGTGTCACAACATAGTCACGACTCACATGCTGCTTAGGTCACTACAGTTACCTCTCTGAGCTGTGCTGTCCAAAGCTGTGGCCATACACAGATAAGCCATAAAAGAGAGTGTTGCTAGCGTGCTCAATTTCCAGGAGCACTAACTCATGAAAATTCCTCCTTTTGTGGCGAGAGGATGCCAGTGAACACACACACACGGATTCTTGTCACCCTTACTAATCAATGTTTGCTGTTGGAACTTTGAGGCCAATGGCCACATTCCAATATACCCGTTGGTCAATAGGCCTCCCCAACCAGGTATTTAAGGTATTTAATTTGGCCAACACTGATCCTGTGTGTCACAACTATTACGTGAGCAGTTTTAAAAGTTTATACCAACACTTCAGGCAATGTAATGTACTGTGAAAAAACTTGGTGTACATAATAATAAAATAATAATAATAATACCACACTAATATCTCTCTACACAATGCAGTGGTCTTGATCCAAAACTTAATCTTCTGCCTTAAGAAAAAGCATGTGTTCAATGGCATCCAAAATAACAACTTGCTAACCCCTGCAGGTCTGTTTGTTCTTCTAGGACTCACTGCTTTGGTTTAGCCAGCCAAGTTCAGAACCTAATTACATGTGCTGTCACAGGCAACTGGTCTATGAATGTGACAGCGAGTGAGAGGAAGGAGCGGAGAACAACAGTGAAATCTGGCAGCAGACGGATCACTTGGGAAGGAGGAGAGGAGCACAAGGTTTTACCGCGGTTATTTAGGGACAGACCAAGAAAAGCAGTGAGGCCTTTAGTGATGCTCTGGTTTCATGTAGAAGCACAGGGTGGAAGAAGAGCTCAGACCTATAGGAGGAAGAGACAAATAGAAACAGACAGACAGCCGTGCCAATGGAAAAAAACAGCAAGTCAGCAAGTCAGATATTGGCGTATGAGAGAGCTAGCGAGCTGAAGAAATAAGAGGCGGGACAGAAAGCTTGCAACACATGCATGAGAAGAAGCAGCATCTGGCCAGTAACCAACGCTAGAGATCTACAGTATGTGCACGGTTAGGTGTGAGCACGCGGTGTCTGGCTTCACTCACTGTGATCGGGAACCAAACCCTGGCCGGGTCGGAGCAACAGATGAACTTTATTGCCTCCGGCTTGGATCAGCTCGATGGCCCGAGTGTGCGTGATGCCCTGAGTGGCCTCACCGTTGATCTCGACAATCTGATCACCAACCTGCGAAGCAGATTTATGCATGGAGCTTTTTTGTCATGAGAGAACTTAAGAGTGTGTCTACATTCCAATCCAAATTGCAAAAAACTCACATGTATCCTTCCATCCTTAAGTGCAGGCCCGTCCTCAGCCAGGCGCAGGATAAACAAGCCCATGTTGTACTCTTTACCTCCCCTCAGGCTGAAGCCGAAACCCCTCTGGCTACGATCCAACTCCACCACAAAACAGTCCTTTTTGTAGAAAATTCCATTCAAACGTAAGATCGAAATTTGGAAAATATGAACTTTTCCTGAGCTGGCACAGCATTGAATCAGCTGAGCAACCAAATAACAGAGGAGGAGAAAAACTGAAAAAATGAACAAATGCAGTCTCACCTGCTTTAGGCCCGGTGCGTTGAGTATTCCCATGTCACCATTCCTGCTCCACAAAAGATAATTTAAGCACCATGTAAATATGTAGTAATCAGTCTACAGTCTTCACAATCCCTGCACAAAACCCTTTGAAAAGGAATTATGGAAATGTCGTATACATACAATGAGGTGCCTCATAAAAGCTTCATCACTACTGATTTCAAACGCACCACAAGAAGTACCCTCAATAGGCAAAATTCTTTCATAGAGTAACTTCAGCAGCATTCGTAGACCCTGTTTGGTTCGAATCCTTCTCCAAACACCTGAAATAATGCAGCCAAGAACGCTGGTGAGCAACTTGCAATTCCGCCAACTGCCACCAGGGCTTCCCATAACCCCGTTTTAGAAACTGACTGACTGCCTTACATTATGTAAGTAGAAACAGGGAAACCACTTCGAATAATGATATGACGACAAAGCCTCGTGTAACGTGGTCATGTAAAGAAAAGTAAAATGACCAAGTTGTAATTAATATTCCAAAAAGTTGTGCTGGTGACAGTGTTCGACACTGCATGACTGGGAAAGGTTTTTGGCGCTTGTTGCCGTCACGTTTCTGTGCTCACAAACTACACAAAGAGGTGATATCTTCAGCGGCTCTGCAATGGCGCTTAATGGGTAGAATTGGAATTCTGAGCCGGTGAGGAACTGCTGCTGGAGGATTAAAAAGTGCAGCATAAAATGAAGCCTGACTGCTCTGTAATCTTTTTTTTTCTATATTCTCCACCATTCAAGCAGAGATGGAAGGGGATTTTCCGTCTTGCTGTGTGTGTGAGCCCCAGTTCAGCACAAACTGCTCGCTGCGCTAAGAAGATTGGACGTATTAGTCATTTCTCTACAATCCCTGTTTGATGGTCTTCCCGTGGTTTACCTGTCTGCATAGTTGGGAGCCTGCTGGCCAACAGCTCTTGGATGCACCGAGGGACTCTGCATGGCTGAGTTTGTGGTGGAGGGAGGCATACTGTCTGTAGGAGCAAAGGCCACACCAATATTCCAAATGACACGCGTGATGATCATCGCCTCATCGTATGTTTAAAAACGTGCCAGCCTACCGTCTTCAGGTACAACGGTGAGGGTAACTGAAGTGCCTGCTTCCTTGATGAGCTGGACAATGTCGTTGTGTGACAGCTCCATGATGGTCTGACCGTTTACAGCAGAGATTCGGTCACCCACCTTCATCTGGCCCAAACGGTCAGTAGGGCTGCCTTCAATGATGCGTCCAATCTTGTGAGGTATTACTGAAACGCACACGGACAACAATGAAGCAAACGTTGACTATCACATTACAGCCGTTTGTGAGTATTTCTGTCGTAGGTGTGAGTATCACTGTAGGAAAAACAACTCAGGGTCATAATGATGACATTATTTACATGCCCGTTCCAGTACTATGGCTGTCTATGGTATGGCATCCCGAAACGTTTGAAGAACATCATTTGAAAATTTGCTCAGAGCTCTTGGCAGGAAACATGTCACTTAGTATCTGTTCTCGCATCCAAGCGAGCTTAAACATTTAGAATGTGTTTTAAAAATCAGCAAAACGGATCCTTGACTAGGTTTTATCGGGTGGGCCAAGTATCATGAGTCAAAAGTGATTTTGTTGATCATCTGATAGGCCCACAAAAAGCTTCCTGATTCATGTAATATTTGTTGTCTTTACGTAATTGTAATGAATAAATGTCAGTTGGGCTCTTAATTTCATTTAGGTTTTGGTCTTTATCAGAAATCAGTATAAATAGGAATAAATAACAACAACAAAAAAAGTACAGACAAGAATAACGTTAAGGCACCGGATTCAATAAGCATTATGGTTAAGAGTCGTAGTATTGATAAAATCTGAATAATACCCATCCCTACATATACCTACATATATGTTCGGGACCTTACCTCCAGGAGGGGGCTTGTTCTTTGAGGTGAGAATGACAAAGCCGAAGCCTTCGTTGTCTTTTCGATGCAGTGTGATTTCAAAGGACTCCTGTCGAGAGGGATAAGCAGTCTTCAGGGGCTCCCCTCGGGCAGTCAACGGAGAGCTGCCGACCAGAGCAGGTGCCACATGCGGGGTCTGCTGCCCGCCCTCCTCTTCCCAGCCGCCAACGTCTGATACAAACACATACAGATGCTTTGAAACATCCATCCAGCCATCCATTTTCAATACTGCTAATGCACATTAGAGTCACAGGTGACCTTGAGTCTATCCAAGCTAACTTTCAAGGCAAGAGGCGGGATACGCCCTGGACGGGTCAACAGTCAATCGTAGGTCACAAAAAGACAAACAAGCATTATATTCACATTTACTCCGATGGATAAGTGATAGTCTTTCAAAGAACATGAATTATTTGGGGAAAGTCGATGGGAAGAACATGGCAAAATCCAGATCGCAGAACCTTAGATGAGATTGAAACCTTTCGACTCTGGTGGTGTTGCATTTCTTTTGCTTCAATGACATTCAAACCTTTCAACTCCGGTGGACAGTATTTGGCAGAGCTATACGCGCTGAAGCACACCCTTCAAATCACTAAATCAACTGGTCGTCATCAGATGACAACACGGAGATTTACTGAATAGTAATTGACCCCAGTTTCTCTTCTTGAACACATTAAAAATCAATGTGGTTGTTGCTTTGACACAGAAAAAAAGAGTCCTTTGAAGAAGATTGCTTAACATTAGAGACTGGTCAATGTCAGAACTTTCCACATGGCAAACTGAGTCATTACAGATTGGATTCCCTTATTTATCAACAAAAAAGAAACCTATTTTTTAGCTTAGTTGTTTTATTTGATCAAACAATGACAATAAATCATGTAGCTGCTTTACTCGTTTGGCAGACACAATCCTGATTGCATCTAGTTAGTAAATCAGCTACATCAGTTTGCGTGCGCAATCAAATTTTGACTCTGTTTGCACATGCAAACCTTTACTGAATCAGACCCTATGAGAGTTTTCGTGGCTGGTTGACCAACCGTAAAGACCACGAACGTTGGGGAAGCCAGTACTAAACAGCATAAGCTATGATAAAATCATGTCTTTTGAGACCCACCTATTATTTACTGCCACTTTGACCCTGCTCAGCAGTGACAGTCGACCCACCTGAATGCGTCAGTTTCCTGCGGACCGTTAGCATGACCTGGCCATTGCGGGCAGCGTTGGTCATCAGTTCCAGTACTTGTTTGTGTGATTTGCCTTTCACTGGCACGCCATCGATACAAAGCAGCTCATCACCTGCCCTCAGGCGCCCGTCCTTCTCAGCTGCACCCAGCGGGACGATGGCACCGATGTACACCTGCGGACACAATCACGTAACACAGATAGTTAAATGTAAGGAAACATACATCTAGGTTCACAGCAGGTCAAATGCCTTTCTGTTCGATACATCTGCAGCAATTGTGGACGTGCAGAATTTAACAGTGGGGACTTAACAAAGCCCACTCACCGGCTGCTCCGGCCCCTCGCCTCCAAGAACCCTGAAGCCAAAGCCTGACTCTTGGTTTCTCTTGATGAATACATCTAGGTCCTTGGTGTTTGCAGCTGCAAAGAAACATTTGATTGAAAATTGCATTCATTCAAAATGACAAGAGGACTGAAAAAAAAAACTCATTTCCAACAATCATATACAACAACACATTTATTTGTTGTTTTATTTGACCCAGGTGGGTTGTTTGAAAGACAAATTCGAATTTCCATTTAAAGGATTTCAAACCAAACAGTAAAATGACTCCATTGTGTGAAGCTTTTCCTTGGCACCTACTATAGAGCTATCTTTCTTCCTCTCTCTCTCTCTCTCTCTCTCTCTCTCTCTCTCTCTCTCTCTCTCTCTCTCTCTCTCTCTCTCTCTCTCTCTTTTTCTATAAAATTACGACAACCCCTTTTGAATGATATTTTAACTCTCAAATATTGATCTTAGAAGAACAGTGGTGACAAATATTATTATTAAAGTTAATTAGAATGTGGAACTTAACTCAAGCTTTCAATTACATGTGCACTACGGAAAATAATCCTGTATTTTCCGCACTATAAGAAGCTTCGATAGAAGCTACAATAGCGGCTGAGGTTGCATTACGCATCCACTAGATGGAGCTATGCTAATACAATACAATACAAAACAATACAGCTTTATTTATATCGCACTTTCACAACCGCTGCAGCTGTATCAAAGCACTTTACAGAACATTTAAAATACTCCGTCGAAGAAATCAGAATATTGATCTATATATAAGGCGCATCAGATTATAAGGCGCACTGTTGGCTTTTGAGAAAATTGAATGCTTTTAGGTGTGCCTTATAGTGCGGAAAATACGGGACTTAAAATTGAGACAAAAAGGTAAAGCATCACTTGATAGATAGAAACATAATGGGTAGAAAATGCGGCCCACGTACGCTGGCTATCCAACAACGCCTTGGACTTGACGTATAGTTCTGAAGCATCTGGTTTGGGAGAAGATGAGCTCATGACATTGGAGAGCAGATTAGGCGGCACCTCTGCATGACCGAGAGTCTCAGGGCTGTGGTTTAGCTCCGGTCGCTGCAACTGTGTGGCAGGAGTAGGGTGGGTGTGGTGAGGAGTCTGTTGAGAGGCAGGCTGGAATGTAGGTTGGGGTGCATGCTGAGGAGCAGGCTGAGATGTTGGTGCCGTGCACTGGAACAGAGGAATCACACAGGATGGCTTAAAATAAAAACATACATTAGCAAATGGATCAACAACAGAAGGCACCGGTAACTATGTGCCAAGCACAGCGACGCATTCTGATGGAGATCAATAAACCAGTGTTAGCGAGCCTGTTGCTGCGTCATCAGGTTGCTATTTTAAGAGTGCAGCACGGAGGCGCAATGCAGGAGCAAGTCGTGAAATAAGGCAAATCATCTTCAATGGCTGAGCCAAGAACGATGTTGAAAATCACTGTTTGTCAGAAAGCAGTATACTTTTTTGGCAAATCGGATCCCGCAGGAAGAGCGCTGCCAGAATAATGCAGCACACACAGTGGCTGGTGCTTGCAGAGAATATATCAATGTGTTATCATTGAGGATTGGATTCATCATCTACAACCGCATATGATTTATCATCAGTTTCTGACCAATAAGAAACATTTGTGTGCGCTTCAACTTACGGGTTTCAATGATTTCACAGGTGATGTCTGACCTAGAAGCAGAAAGGAAGAGGTCAAGACATTTGGTGATGACAGTATTTGTACATTTACTGTATACGGGCTTTGATCTGTTGTGTTGGTACTGCACTGCAAGCAGTCGAGAATTGACATTGCTGACTGGGCGTGCTATTTGAAGCAGATGTTGAGAATCCACTATTGACCCCAGTTACCTCAATAGCAGATTCTCGCTTTCTATGAAGAAGCGATTCTGATTATTTTGAACATTGTTAAACAACTGAGCATACCACAGACCTGGCATACTTACTGATATGACATTGGATGTTGGCTTCCGTATATATTTTAAAATGAACAGGACTGTTGTTCTGAACTTCTGAGTGACCTGTCTGAATGTTTTGTGACCATGACAAGGGCCGGAGGGCCACAATTTGATGCAGCCAGTAGGAGGCAGTATTCTCCAGCCGCACAACTAAAGTTGCAGCATAGCAATTACATTGCCCTTTAGAGCTGTGGCTCAACTATTGTCAATCCATCCATCCATCCATTTTCCGATCCGCTTTATCCTCACAAGGGTAGGGGGGCGGGGGGGGGACTGGAGCCTATCCCAGCCGTCTTCGGGCAGTAGGCGGGGGACACCCTGATTTGGTTGCCAGCCAATCGCAGGGCACACAGAGACGAACAACCATTTGCGCTCACACTCACACCTAGGGACAATTTAAAGTGTTTAATTAGCCTGCCATGCATATTTTTGGAATGTGGGAGGAAACAGGAGTACCCGGAGAAAACCCACGCAGGCCTGGGGTGTACATGCAAACTCCACACAGGGAGGACGGAGCTGGTATCAAACGCACAACCTCTGCACTCTGAGGTCGACACACTAACCACTGGCCCACTGAACCACCGGGCCGCCGCATTGTCAATCTGGGAACCGAATTTCCCCGTGTTGCTAATTCTAGTCCACTTTTATAGAAGTTAAGAAGAAAAACAGAAATCGTATTCAGGAAGTATAACCGTTATATTATCAAATATATTTTTTAAGACAACTACGCCTGCTCAAAGTGCTTCTCAGAGCACCTTATTTCGAAACTGAGGATGAACACGACATCGGTACTTATAAATAAGAACATAGTCAATTTAAAGTTTGAGAAATATTTCCAGACTTATTATTATTATTATTTAAAAAAACAAAGCAAAAAAACACCTATAGGTAATTATGGTGGTGACTGAGCGTATCTCTGCATAGAGATGTGTTCTCACCCACAAAGTGAGAACGAGTTCATGCGTTTCATTTGTTTCCTTGAAATGTCACTGCCGAGGATCCCTCTATGTTTTCCTATCCATTAGAGATCAAGTCCCATCCAGTAGTTGGGAATCACTACTACATAGAATAGCATGGAAAATATGCTCCTTTCCGCAAATTCCTAAGTGTGAGGTCTCCAGATTTAGGTGTCACCATGAAACAAGCGGCTGGAGGGAAGTTATTTCCTTATGAATATTTCCTTGTCAAATGTGAAACGCATTGGTGCAAAGCATCAAGTCACATTGCTCCCTGGGCAAACAGCGCAGTACATGCGTCAACAGAATTTTTAGGTTAGGAGAATGGCCAAATAATTTGCTGTCTTTACTAGGATGCTTCTAGACCACACCACATTAAGTGCAGGTCAGGGAGCTTACTGCTTTTCCAAGCAATGATGAACCAAACAGCGATGAAGCATTTAATATACGCATGCACACGAAAACAATAATAGCAGGCGGTGCGAGTATGCGGCACAGATCTGCAGCACAGCCAATGTGACAGAGTCCTTCAAGTTGGTGGAGGCTGAATGTGAACAGAAGGATAGACATTTTCCACGGTTAACCCAGGCTCTGCATCCCCCGGCCCCCTGGAAGCGGCAAATGAATCACAAGAAGCGCCACCTTTCTGCACCGTCACACTACAGCTCGCCATATGACTAAGCATGATGTCCTCCCTGCTTGGGATGCTGACGCGGTGTTGCAGATGTTGCAGTGTTGGGAGTCTGAAATTGCTTTATACAATACTGCCTGGATCTTGATTGTGCCAAGTGAGACCTCAGTAACTGGGACCTCAACGTTTCCGTTTATTGAATCAATGAGTCTTTAAACACCGTCATTAGTTACCGGTAAATTTGAAATTGAAAATAATTTGATTTAAAGATCTCTTTGAGGATACAATTGTTGAACAACTCAGTCTTTTATGTGAGTATTTGTTCTGAAACCCTTTTCAGCATAAAATGATCAAATACATGAATTATAGCCATGACATTTATGCTAATAGAATGTTAAAATGAAGCACAATACACACCGGTAAGCATAAAAGCCTTTTTCTTTCTCCAAACACAATGTACGTTCTGCTGCAGCATCCAGGAAGGCATTGTACACAAGAAGACCTGCCTGTGTTTCTCTTTTACAACTCTGGCTATACCGATACTCCCAATAAAACGAAACGTAACTTTGTGTTATATACGAATATACAAATAAACGATAAAAAGATATTATTCTTAGATTTGACAAGATCAAATTTCAGAAAAGAAAGAACATTATCTTTTTGCCCCAATCTGCTGAAAAATCTTGGCCCGGCCTGCTGATAAAACTCAGCGACACTCTTAAACTCAGTAGCCTAAATGCCCTCTGAGAACATCCTGTGCCTCCTGAAGCCTCACAATGGGAAAGTAACATTGATCAGTATCATCTCTTAATGCGAGAAAGTGGAAATCATGGTAAAGATGACCGTTTAATTGCCCGTATGGGAAATGTATTGGTCCATCCTTGAATCAAACATCTGTTGTGAATTTGACCATTCTGCGAATCATTCTCTTTGTATTTATCTGGCGAACTCACCTCCTCGGAGCACCAGCACGTTGACTTCACTGCCTACGGGCAAGTCTTTGAGGATGTCCACCACCTGCGAGTGACTCAACGTCTGCACGTTCTGTCTGTTAATCTCTTTGATGACATCACCCTTCAGCAGACCACGGCACCACTGTGCGTCGAGAATCATCTTCACCTTTTGACCCAGGGGGCAGTCAGCAATAGCAAAGCCAAAACCTCCAGGGCCTTTCAATAAAGGCACGCTTATGAGCTCGGGCTGGAGCAGGGTGGCATCTGGGGCCTCCTGGTTGTGAACATGAGGAGGGTGGTGATGGTGGAGGTGATGGTGCGCATGGTGGTGGTGGTGACGCCCCCCGTTAGTCATGGGCGGTACCGCAGCAGTCTGCCTGGGGAGGGTTCCACCTTCCTGGACCTTGTGTAGGTGGTCCTGAGACTTGGAAGCGGAGGGAGAAGAATCCTTGGATGCGTCCCCCCCACTGCCAGAATCTTCGGGTAGTGTGTAACCACGGCACAGGACCATGTCAACATACTGGTTGATGGGGATGGATTGGAACATCTGCACCACATCGGCATGCGTTTTCCCCAGCACACATGTCCTATTGATGTCAACAATCACGTCACCTGGAAGAGCAAATCATGCATGTTTCATTGCCATGGCGAGTGGGCTCGAAAAGAGCTCACAATCACATAAACACATACGCCTGGTTGTAAAAGGAGATTGGAAGGACCTGGCTGACAAATAGGTCGAAGAATAGGTCTGGAGAGCCAGCTCAATTGCTGACCAATATGCTTGTCTCAACCTTCCCACACAATCAATAGGCTACCGTGACAAACACAGATCAGATTTCCCTTATCGGAGCAAGCTCGATTGCCCCTGTGGTTCGCAATGGAATTCATCAAGAGAAAAAAAAGGGAAAGGGAGCATCTCGGTTTGAAAATTCACTCATTAAAATGTAACATAATCACAATAATACACTGAACACACAAAGGCAGGCTTTTCATTCTCCATCGTTTTTGAAAAAAATACACGGCTTTGCAGGCCTAACGCATTCTACATTTCAAACTGAGGACAAAGAGACAGTTGGGCAGTTTGATGGTTTGTACTCAAAGCTCCATGATGAATGCAAATACGGATGGCATGAATGGACCATTAGAAAAAAGCTGTATTGATACAGCATTTAACTGTGCTAAGAGCATCTTGCTGCATCAGATAAAAGCAGTCATAGTGACAATTAAATGTTTGTCAATCATGTGATCATTGTGACTGGTAAAGTGGTAATTGTAGCAGATCAATAGGGTTTCTTTTTCAATTATGAGCTCTCATCCGTGAAAGTTCAAGTAAGACTGGTTTCAATTTTTAACCAGGAGAGTGCGGACCAGAACATTGTACGACTTGGACTTCAGCTACCTGAAGTAGCTTCTCTTTGATATAATCCAAACCTGTTTTGCTCAAAAGCTAAATTACCTTTGAACATCTTTAAAAGGTTGGGTGAAAACTGGCAGACAAGAAACATGATTCCGATGGGCCTGACTTTCCTTGTTTACCTCTTTCCCCACCATGCAACATCCAAACTCTCGCACATACACACATTATTATAGAAATATCAAATCGTTGAGAGTTTGATGACAACTAGGTACAAGGTTAGGAGTTAGCACTTCAAAGAGTCTTGTTCCTCTCTTCACCTAGCTTCTAGCTTCTTTGACATGTCCATGGAGTTACCGAAGTGTCATAGAGGGAACCTTACCAGAGGCAATTTTCTTGTCGTGTGCAGCAGGCCCATCAGGAAGGACATTTTTGACCTGAAGAAACTCGTCTGGTCGGTCTCCTCCGATAATGGTGAAGCCGAAGCCCTGGGGGCTTTTTCGAAGTGCAGTCTGATAGATGGAGCCCTGTAGCTGAGACGGGTCTCGTGTGAAGTGTCGCACCCCGTGGACAGGCTCCTCTGTTGCAGGGACAAAGTTAGCAGAAATGCCATTTTCAGAAATTGTGAATGAAGATTTGCCTCTTGCAAGTTCATGACTCTCATAAAAGCTGCTAAAATGTCACATATGCTTCTGTGGATGTGTCAATGTCCGTGTGATGTGAAGATAGTGAAAAGCTCAAAAACTGCCATCTGTCTGCACTCATGCGACAATGTCATATCTGACAGCCTCTTACTCGCTGCAAGTAACGCACACACTCGTCCAAAGGTGAGTGTAATTACATTTTTTGTACACTTAAACTGTATTCCAAGGGTCTCTTTTCTGTATGTAAAGCATTGCAAGGTCACAAAACATCTTAGCATAGTAGGTAACTGAGATTGTTTTGTTCACAGAGCAACTTCACAGTGAATGGGATATAAATAATATAAGAAGGAACATATGTGTTTATGCTTATGTAAGGAAGAGACTGAGAGGCCAACAATAAGAGCAGTGAAGACTAAAAGTTAGCCGTTAAAAAAAAAAGGGTTAATTTTCAAATGAGTTGTGTGTTGTGTCACAGTATGCTGCAATTAAAAAACATCTCACAAAGTGATTCATACGGTGTATACAGATAATTCTCCCCCCTAAAAAAAAAAAAAAAAAAAAAAAAAAAAAAAAAAAAACCCAAACAAAAAAAAAAAAAAAAAAAAAAAACACCCACACTGACATCAACAGAAACTTGAACAACCAGGAACCCCCTCACCAAGAAATGCTAATGGAAGAAGCACAAGAAAGCATCGCTTCCTCCATGAATATGATGACTATTGCTATGAACAGAAAAGAAAGGGTTGGTAGTTATGACAATGACTGGACTTAATCACTAGAATCAGTTCATCAAAAATTTTCATCAGTGCTTCATCTTCCTACAAGTCATGACGTGTTCACTTACTGAGGGACAGCGCGTTCACGGACCATAGCACACAGTCATTCGTGGGACGCGGCTTTACTTTGAGTGGTATACATGCACAAGAATTACTGCACGGTGAACGCTAATTCCTCTTTCTTTTAAAACACAAAGTTTGTCAAATATTGGAAATTTGGGGTGAGTTAAAAAAAATGAACATTGCACCTGGCATCTATTGCTGTCGAAGGATAGCAACAACATATACCGTATTGGCCGGAATACAAGACGTCCCTGATTATAAGACGACCCCCTCTTTTTCAAGACTCAAGTTTGAAAAAAGACTTTTTGAACACTGAACTAAAGTGCAATCACATTCATAAATGAATGGCTTCTGGTTTTTGAAATGTAAATTACATCATAACTTCTCCTCAGCTGCCGGTTAACCTGGCCGATCTTCGACCCACTTTTCTCCAGATTGTCGCTATGTTTCTCCATTTTCTGTTATCTCTTCTATTATTTTCTTCTCTTTTCTTTCTAACCGCTATTTTTTTATTTTTCTTCTTCGTGCTACCGCTATTTTTATTTTTATTTTTCGTGACAGGGGTTCACTTTGGCCTGGGAGTCAAGTTCAGCATTCGCTTCAATGATATCTCGTCCTCGCTAGCGTCGTGAATGGGTATAATGTCTAGACCCCGAATATAAGACGACCCCCACTTTTTCAGTCTTATTTCAATGCAAAAAACACCGTCTTATATTCGGGCCAATACGGTATGTGTATGCGCCTCTTCTCCTCTCATTAAAATATGTGTAGTCTGCTAAGACAATTGTGTGTGTGTGTGTGTGTGTGTGTTTCTTTTCATGTGGCTTGAATGAACATTACAGTACAGTAGTTGTTAGCTCGGATAAACGGATGCCAATGAGGTATATCCTCACGAAGAGAAAATGGTTAGAATCACTCAGGGCAGGATGTCTGTAATGAATGACATGTCCCTCCCCCGCCCGCACACTAGCCGCATCATTTGCCAGCTGCAGTTCGACTCCCCGCCGGCCTGCGTGCAACTGAGTGAGCTCAAATGAACTGAGAAAGAAACGAATCAGTTTTGGAACTGATACCTTTCAATACGTTCAAAGATGAATTCGTTTGAGCAAATAGTTTGTGAACAAAGAAACACTCAAGGATGGTGGGTTGTGCACGGGACACCCAAATCATGTTTACATGGTGATAATTAAGCTGTGGGCCACCGAGGGACAGTCGGACGTCTCGGGGGCGGAGTAATTATATTAAATGTCAAACAGGATTGTCACTGCTATAATTAGGGTGGAGTGTGGTGCTGGGCTTCTCTGGCTGTCTCTCGTGCTCTCTCTTTTATCTGATAGGTCAGATTTGCTGTGCTGTCAGAACACTGTTTAGATGCCACTTCACGCACGTCCACGAGCTCACTGGTTATTATTCATTCTCATTAGCAAGGGCGTGAAGGTGTAGATGGTGGTGTATTGAAGCAGAGGTTGGCAGCACATAAATAAAGGCTGTTTCATCCAAGGACTACAGAGATCCTTGGCTGTGGCAGGTTGAAAATAGAGCGTCAACTTGAATACTAATGTCCTTGTGTTTCATGTGCACAGAAAACTGTCAATATAAAAGTGAACCCACTCAATTTTTTTATATTACTAACGTACTATGTTTGCACTGCATATCATTCCAAACGTGCAAAAAATATTAGCCCTCCTCACATTGTACTGTAGGGCAGTAAAAGACACTGTGTAAGTGCAACTAAGACATTTCTGCCATCTAGTGGTGATTGGTGAAATTAGCACTTAAAACTACAGTCTACCCTGCAAGCTTTTGTTTCCATTTTTTTCAATATTTTTTTGCAGACATTTCTTTCCCCAATCTCCCTTCACGCGTTTACTCTGGAAAACATATATAGAAAGTTTATCAACGTTTTTTTGAAGAAATTTTGGGGGCTTGCAAAAAAAAAAAAAAAAAAAAAAAATTAAAAGTTAAAAAAAGGGGGGTTTAAAATAATAATAACCACTCAGAGTATTGTCCACCAGTTGCCCAACCCTGATCTAGAAAATGCCATTCTGTTATCGCAAGTTACTTTTAACTGCTGTGACTCTGCTTTAAAAGAGACCTCGGAGCCCTCAGAATTTAATATCTGACTGCCAAAATGAATTTCGTCGCCCAGTGCAGCTCAGCTCCATTATGCAAATTGACTATCATTGCTTCAGAGGGCAGCTGTTTATAAGCTGCCTGTCAACTCCTAAAACATCTCGGCAGGAGGGAGGAGATGCGCACAGGGCAGCCATTGATTGCTACGGTGCAGAAATCAAAAATGCCAGACCAACTTCAATGGTATTCCTGCAGTGTTTTGTGCTCACCTGAGGGTGTGGCCGTTGTTGAGGATGCTGCGGAGGGCGTCTCGACGCTTACTTTTCTCTTTGCTTCAAGGACTGGATTCTCAAACTGAGTCTTCTGGTTGATATGGCTGCAAGATGGAACACACATAATTATTAAGTCGGACTGGGAGAACCAATTATTACAGAGAAGTTCACATTGCATGGTTGCAAAATGTTCCATCCAATATAGCTTCATTGAGGCTTATACTGCTATGTACATCGCTTACATGTATTCTGACTATGAAGTCCTTTTAATTATGATTTTTTCCCTCATTTCCTTGAGCTTTCGACCTTTTAATATGGAGGAGGAATGAGGAATTTCAAACTGAATTCACCTTCTCACACCCAAATTTGAGCCAACTCAATGGTCAGTTTAATTTATTTTTATCACAATATAGAACACCATCCAATTTCGTAATGACATCCTTCTTTTTTTAATAGTAAATAGCTATGAGCTATTCTGACTCTTAATTAAGAGCAAAAAAGAAAAATACAGTAAATGTGTTTGCAAATTTGTGATGTGCAGCCAAAGTGGCATCAGAAAAAGCACAGTTGAGCTTTTCGCGTGTCCATGCCGCAACAGCTGGCAAACGTAGTGAATTAAACGACACACATTTTCTTCTAATGTATATTGTGCTTAGGCCAATTTGTTCGGAAACAAAGTCGTTCGTAACACAAAGTCACACTGTAAATATGAAGTCGTATTGACTGTAATCGATTTGAAGTCTGCCAGTTAAAAATGTTCCAAATCTTTTTTTTTCCCATCTACTAATTTGGTGTTTAGTTACCAATAATGCTGTCTCCCAAGTTGAGGTTTGGATGACATGTTGAGCTCTTGCCTCATATTCATCTTGTGATGTCAAATCCAAATGTCTACAGAAAAGGAATTGGCCTCATTACTACAATAGTTTTTGAAGGGCTTGCTTTTGCTTGTTCTGCCAATTTATGATTGACCTGTCTCAGCTAAATCACCTCATGCATGCACACTAAACAGTTAGCAAACAGTCTCCCTTGAAAAAACAAAACAAAACAAAAAACATCCACTCCATGAAAGCATGATCACGAGTGTTGGCGTGGTAGTGGTTTGAAATCCAAGCCAAAATGGCAACTTTGAAGTTGCACTAAAGCGGCCACCTGCTGAGAAATGATAAGAGCCTGTGTGTGTGTGTGTCAGCAAATAAAATGAAACATGAAACATTTGTTTCCTATGCATGACTCACACACATTGTGATGCTCCAAGTGAAGGGCCTCACTTTGCAATCTCTTCTTACTCCCTCATCACTGCAACTCATGTTCGGGAAAATCATGAGACGTCATATACTCGACCAGACAACGAGGTGGAGATATGGGAGATGCAGCCTCTCGTTGACCCTCTTGTATAAACAGTGGCACTGATCCACCCCCACGCCTCTTTGTCCGCAGTAATGGGAGCAAAATGAAACATTGAGCTCTATTTGTACTCTTGATCAGAAAGGAATCTCCCCATTGTTTCCCACGCAGGGCCCCAACACTTGAATTGCCTGTTGTATTTGCAGATTTGAGGGGCTGTGGGAAACTGAAACAGGCCCTATCCTAGAATCCAATCACATTACATCATCTGCATATAATTCATCTGTGCCTTTGCCTTGATGGTGCTAAATGTGTGCTCCAGATCAAAGCTGCTGACTGAGTCTAGTCCATGTCACTCAACAACCACATATTGTGTCACCTCCTCCAACGCCACCATCTTCACGCTCGAGTCCCCTCTACCACTCAAACAAGAGATATTTACTCACTCTACATAGTAGGTGCCATACTGGGGGTCCTCGATCCTCTCCCAGCCGTAGGGCAACTCTAAGGGATGGAAAATGAGAGAAAATCACAAGAGAGGACTTCATGGACTTCACCTTGAGGATAGATTGCTTGTTTTATTTGTGGCGTTTTCAAATGACAGATGAGACTTGGAGTGATAGGAGAAAGAGTGGCTGAGTTGTTAGAGCTAGAAAAATAATAGTCTTTGTTTCAGGAGGAGCGTACGTGAGCATCATCTCAAGTTCCTGCTACTGTGTCACACACAGAGTCCTTGGAGCAATTGCCTTGTGTTAGCTGGCGCAGTGATGAGCGCTCTGCATGTACTCGACAAGTCTTCAGGGGGGGCAGATACACCTGGGAAGAAAACGCTTGCTCCATTGTTCAATTTGCTGTCCGTGCAGTGTGAGCAACTCCTCTGTAAATAAAATAGCCATTGGCTCCCCGACAAGTCTAGAGAATTTGTTAAATGATGGCATCAGTTAACCTGTCCCACTGTTCATTCTGCAAATGAGACTAAGTACCACTGTTTATGCAGTACAGTAGCACCTTGGACTGAGAGCCCCGACTCATGGATGTTATGAGCTTGGTCCAAGACCATGCGAGTGAAAATGAAAAAAAAAAAATACATGGAGCATTTAAGGTACTGTCATGTCCTAGCATGCAGGCCACACCCAGACTGGACTGGCCCTTGCAGTAATTTTATTTTATATATTTTATATAAATATGAATTGATACTATGATGGGCGGCCCGGTAGTCGAGTGGTTAGCACGTCGACTTCACAGTGCAGAAGTACCGGGTTCAATTCCAGCTCCGGCCTTCCTGCGTGGAGTTTGCATGTTCTCCCCGTGCTTGCGTTGGGTTTTCTCCGGGTCCTCCGGTTTCCTCCCACATTCCAAAAACATGCATGGCAGGCTGATTGAACACTCCAAATTGTTCCTAGGTGTGAGTGTGAGTGTGAATGGTTGTTCATTTCTGTGTGCCCTGCGATTGGCTGACAACCAGTTCAGGGTGTACCCCGCCTACTGCCCGAAGACGGATGGGATAGACTCCAGCATCCCCCGCGACCCTTGTGAGGATAAGCGGATCGGAAAATGGATGGATGGATGGTATTGACAGTCCGTTTAAACGAGAACTTGTGCCCCTGTGTGTCCTCCCAAAAAAAAGCGACCTATTTACCGCTATAAACAGCGTTGTAAACATGGCTGATGGAGACATGCAGGGGAGACGCACGGTTTTCTTTGGCTCCCTTTACAAAGCATAGTGAACTTTCCCATACTACACTGGATCATACAAGTGAGTGAGTCCATCTATTCATTTGGGAATATTGAATGCCATACAGAACACACATAATATCATGTTAAATTTTTTGTCAGATGATTTTTGAAAAAAAAAATGCACAAAATGAGTTCTTGCAGTCAGTGTATGATTGTTTTTTGGCAAAGGTCATGATGCATATTTTGACTGGTACGACTATACTCCTGAATATATGTTAAACCCTGTGGAAATCCATTTGCTAAGTCGCCAATACAGAGTGAGTCGATTGGAGCCCCGAGGAAACCTGAAGCTATCTGCCAAATGATGTCTCACCTCCTTCTTCGCATTTCTCAGGAGCCTTGGCCTTCTTGGCAAGCCGTGGGTCCAGCCAGGTTGTGGTTTTGCTGTTATGGCTGCACAAAGACAAAAATTCATCTTCAGGCATTGTCAAGATCATTAAAAAGATAATGAGACTATTAAGCAATTAGCAGCACGGCATTACCCAAGAGCTATTTCAACAGCTATTGGGAGCTAAAAGATTTAAAGGCTCATTGAGATCATACATTTTGAGATCATAGGGTGTATTCAAAATTCTGTTGTAATCTTAAACAACGGGAATACTTTGAGGCATGAATAAAAGAGTATATGAAAACAAAGCAGACCTGCCAGCCCCCCCAAAAATCCACCACAGGGAAAATGAAAGTAAAACAACTGCTGAACCTACAGATACCTTCACCAGATTGACGCGAGGAAGTGCGACCAGAACTGATCTAGCTTATTGTGACATAAATAAAGTCGACTTGTGTGACTGTTTTTGGACTATGTTTCAGAAGAATTGGGCTAAGGGGGAGTCAGGCGACTGCTGGGGAGTTCATGCAATGGGGAAGTAATTCGACCAATGCCAGGCAGTGTTAAGGTTACTCACTCTATAAAATAGACCATGCCGGTCTCTGTGTAGGCCATTTCCCAGTTCTTTGGCAGGGGCTCCTGACTATCGTCCTGTGCCATTGCACTCCACGCTCGCAGGTCCATGGCCGCAGCTGACTGATTGTAGCTGGGCACGGACTTCCTCCAGTCCGCCTTGTCCTTGTGGTCTGCAGCGGCCCGACATGCCGCCAGAGACACCGGCACGGAGACAGAAAGGGGAAGTGGATGGGAATAGGGGTACGGGAGGTGGTAGAAAGAGAAGGAGACGGGAGGTGAGAATGTGGAACCATTGGATCCCCTTTGGGCTCCTTGCATGATGCCCTGCTGCCGCTCAAGTTGCTCTTCCTCTGCACACTGGGCAAATGGTTGCATCCCACCACACGAGCGAAGGTTAGAGAGAGAGAGAGAGAGAGAGAGAGAGAGAGAGAGAGAGAGAGAGAGAGAGAGAGAGAGAGAGAGAGAGAGAGAGAAATGGAGGAGGCAGAGAGAGTACATAGAGAAGAGTGTAGCAAATGCCATAGAATTTGCACGTCAGCAGTGATATACGAGGAACGGCCTCCCGGGCAAGAGCAGAAGAGGTGTCAGCCTGGCCCAGAGCACCGCATCCTGACTCTGTTTGTATCGTGTGTGAGTGAGGCTCCTATCTGCGCGTTTTCATCTGGGCAGCTTCATCAGATCATTGATTACTCTGTTTGCATATCCGCTGGGATTGAATGACAAAGATTAAACATGGCAAGAGAATTTTGCTGACATTTTGGTCTCATTTTTAAAACAAAAGCCACAGAGGTTTCTACACGCGCAGTAGGTATAAATGATATACACAGAGCAGGTATATTCATTGGCTTGAGACAAAGCAGGAGCTTAAAATGCAGTTTGCCTCTTCTCCGTCCTTTGTTGCGATAGGCTCAACTTTACTTTCCTGACCACCCAGGGCTACATTGATGATGTGTATCTTGCAAGATGGGATGATCTGCTACATGCTCAATTACCTTTTCCACAGTGGTCCAACCCCCTGCTTCTGCCAGCGGATCTCCGTATTGCATGCCTTCTCGTATAGATGCACAATCTAGATAGGGCAGCAAATGACTAGCGATTGCCAATTTACCTTGATTGGGTGTCCAAATGTGTGTCATTATCTCCTGCAGGTTGCATGTTGTATTTGTACTCAAATGTATGTTTTCACACATCAACAGGTCCTCCAACTCACACACGGATAGACTGTGAATTATTTTGCTCTCTATTATAGTGAGAAGAAATAAAAGGCAGTGTTTGTCTCACCAGCTTGACCATTGACCATTGTAGGCCTCTCTTCTTCATCCTCCTCCTCTGGGGCTGCACTGTCCTTCCTGTCCATCTTGCTGACTGAAGTTGTGCGCTTTCGTTGGACTTCATTGTCAAAATCTTCATCGAACAAGACCTGGTCCACCAAGTCCGGCTGTACAGGGCTCGGCTCGGCAGGCGGTTTAGGCGTTCCATAGTAGTTACCTGGGAAGATAAAATTTGATTTCGAAATCCACAAAATTCTCAAATAACAGATTATGCTGATCAAAAGGAAAGCCTTGCTGTCATCAATGAGTCACACTGATTGTATTTTTCCCATCCCACTTTTAGACTTGCAGCCTCTGGATAATGGTAGGCCACAAGTCTCCCTTTTGCTTTTTGACAAAAAAAATGGCTATTTGTCCAGTTTGTAGAGGTCCAGCCTCTGTCAGATTCTCAAAGCTAAACTTTACCGGTAAATATGTTGCCTTTACTTTGCATACCACATGCAGATTACTTTCCAATAAACTCTCTGAAATAACATTGTCACATAATCTTCAAAAAAACATCTCAATGATTATTCCAGCGTGCATGTTATGTAAATATTAGCGTATTATGATGCCATTTGACTCTGTAAGAAAAAACAATGATGCGATACATTGTTTATGAAAAATAAAGTTGTGAACGCATGAGATCCCCCCCAACCCCCCTTTAAATCCATCAGCCTTTTCTGTCATGTTGGCGGCGCCCAAGGCAGTGCAGCGCTAACTGCACAGAGCGAGTGTGCACAGTGCAGCATGAGCACCACTCATTTTCATCCTTCCTCAAATATACCAGCGGAGAGCTGACCTGCTAAGATGGGGGGAGGGGTGGTGGTGGTACTAAGTTACATTCAAGGAGCTCTTTGCTATAGTATAAATGTAAAATCAGACCAGAAGAGGCATCCCTGCACAAAAATGTGTTTTTGTCATACTCGAAGACTGGAGTAATCAAAAGTCTTATGTAACATGGCGGTACTCCTGTATTTTGTCATGCTCACCAAAAGAAAGTGCATGGGGACACCGATGAGATAAGGGACCGTGACTGCCGTAAGATGGATGCTGCGCTAATGTTACTGAGCTCATTAGTCACGATGCAAATGGTAGCTTCAGGAGATTTTTTGCAGTTTGTAGAGCAGTCTTAAACCACACAACCTTCGCGTTGATAGAGTCTACAGGCTATTGTTGTTTTTACTGATTTTATGAGTTTACTGTGCTTCTTATAATTCAAATATGAATAGTTCATCATGTAACTTAAGGAAAGAGTGCTCTCTAGGCCTCTACCGACAGTTTGTTTAGTGGGACGCACCCACAATGAAGCCAAAATAATGCATGTGATAATAAATATGAAAGGTGTGGGGCTCGAGTCAAATGACTTGCTTGTAGTCGTCAATTTTAAGGACCTGGAACTTGCTTGGCTAGAACTGATTTATTGACTTGACAAGTGTCCATGCATTTTGACAAGTGTCCATGCCTCCATTGTTCAATTTGCTGTCCGTGCAGTGTGAGCAACTCCTCTGTAAATAAAATAGCCATTGGCTCCCCGACAAGTCTAGAGAATTTGTTAAATGATGGCATCAGTTAACCTGTCCCACTGTTCATTCTGCAAATGAGACTAAGTACCACTGTTTATGCAGTACAGTAGCACCTTGGACTGAGAGCCCCGACTCATGGATGTTATGAGCTTGGTCCAAGACCATGCGAGCGAAAATGAAAAAAAAAAAATACATGGAGCATTTAAGGTACTGTCATGTCCTAGCATGCAGGCCACACCCAGACTGGACTGGCCCTTGCAGTAATTTTATTTTATATATTTTATATAAATATGAATTGATACTATGATGGGCGGCCCGGTAGTCGAGTGGTTAGCACGTCGACTTCACAGTGCAGAAGTACCGGGTTCAATTCCAGCTCCGGCCTTCCTGCGTGGAGTTTGCATGTTCTCCCCGTGCTTGCGTTGGGTTTTCTCCGGGTCCTCCGGTTTCCTCCCACATTCCAAAAACATGCATGGCAGGCTGATTGAACACTCCAAATTGTTCCTAGGTGTGAGTGTGAGTGTGAATGGTTGTTCATTTCTGTGTGCCCTGCGATTGGCTGACAACCAGTTCAGGGTGTACCCCGCCTACTGCCCGAAGACGGATGGGATAGACTCCAGCATCCCCCGCGACCCTTGTGAGGATAAGCAGATCGGAAAATGGATGGATGGATGGTATTGACAGTCCGTTTAAACGAGAACTTGTGCCCCTGTGTGTCCTCCCAAAAAAAAGCGACCTATTTACCGCTATAAACAGCGTTGTAAACATGGCTGATGGAGACATGCAGGGGAGACGCACGGTTTTCTTTGGCTCCCTTTACAAAGCATAGTGAACTTTCCCATACTACACTGGATCATACAAGTGAGTGAGTCCATCTATTCATTTGGGAATATTGAATGCCATACAGAACACACATAATATCATGTTAAATTTTTTGTCAGATGATTTTTGAAAAAAAAAATGCACAAAATGAGTTCTTGCAGTCAGTGTATGATTGTTTTTTGGCAAAGGTCATGATGCATATTTTGACTGGTACGACTATACTCCTGAATATATGTTAAACCCTGTGGAAATCCATTTGCTAAGTCGCCAATACAGAGTGAGTCGATTGGAGCCCCGAGGAAACCTGAAGCTATCTGCCAAATGATGTCTCACCTCCTTCTTCGCATTTCTCAGGAGCCTTGGCCTTCTTGGCAAGCCGTGGGTCCAGCCAGGTTGTGGTTTTGCTGTTATGGCTGCACAAAGACAAAAATTCATCTTCAGGCATTGTCAAGATCATTAAAAAGATAATGAGACTATTAAGCAATTAGCAGCACGGCATTACCCAAGAGCTATTTCAACAGCTATTGGGAGCTAAAAGATTTAAAGGCTCATTGAGATCATACATTTTGAGATCATAGGGTGTATTCAAAATTCTGTTGTAATCTTAAACAACGGGAATACTTTGAGGCATGAATAAAAGAGTATATGAAAACAAAGCAGACCTGCCAGCCCCCCCAAAAATCCACCACAGGGAAAATGAAAGTAAAACAACTGCTGAACCTACAGATACCTTCACCAGATTGACGCGAGGAAGTGCGACCAGAACTGATCTAGCTTATTGTGACATAAATAAAGTCGACTTGTGTGACTGTTTTTGGACTATGTTTCAGAAGAATTGGGCTAAGGGGGAGTCAGGCGACTGCTGGGGAGTTCATGCAATGGGGAAGTAATTCGACCAATGCCAGGCAGTGTTAAGGTTACTCACTCTATAAAATAGACCATGCCGGTCTCTGTGTAGGCCATTTCCCAGTTCTTTGGCAGGGGCTCCTGACTATCGTCCTGTGCCATTGCACTCCACGCTCGCAGGTCCATGGCCGCAGCTGACTGATTGTAGCTGGGCACGGACTTCCTCCAGTCCGCCTTGTCCTTGTGGTCTGCAGCGGCCCGACATGCCGCCAGAGACACCGGCACGGAGACAGAAAGGGGAAGTGGATGGGAATAGGGGTACGGGAGGTGGTAGAAAGAGAAGGAGACGGGAGGTGAGAATGTGGAACCATTGGATCCCCTTTGGGCTCCTTGCATGATGCCCTGCTGCCGCTCAAGTTGCTCTTCCTCTGCACACTGGGCAAATGGTTGCATCCCACCACACGAGCGAAGGTTAGGGAGAGAGAGAGAGAGAGAGAGAGAGAGAGAGAGAGAGAGAGAGAGAGAAATGGAGGAGGCAGAGAGAGTACATAGAGAAGAGTGTAGCAAATGCCATAGAATTTGCACGTCAGCAGTGATATACGAGGAACGGCCTCCCGGGCAAGAGCAGAAGAGGTGTCAGCCTGGCCCAGAGCACCGCATCCTGACTCTGTTTGTATCGTGTGTGAGTGAGGCTCCTATCTGCGCGTTTTCATCTGGGCAGCTTCATCAGATCATTGATTACTCTGTTTGCATATCCGCTGGGATTGAATGACAAAGATTAAACATGGCAAGAGAATTTTGCTGACATTTTGGTCTCATTTTTAAAACAAAAGCCACAGAGGTTTCTACACGCGCAGTAGGTATAAATGATATACACAGAGCAGGTATATTCATTGGCTTGAGACAAAGCAGGAGCTTAAAATGCAGTTTGCCTCTTCTCCGTCCTTTGTTGCGATAGGCTCAACTTTACTTTCCTGACCACCCAGGGCTACATTGATGATGTGTATCTTGCAAGATGGGATGATCTGCTACATGCTCAATTACCTTTTCCACAGTGGTCCAACCCCCTGCTTCTGCCAGCGGATCTCCGTATTGCATGCCTTCTCGTATAGATGCACAATCTAGATAGGGCAGCAAATGACTAGCGATTGCCAATTTACCTTGATTGGGTGTCCAAATGTGTGTCATTATCTCCTGCAGGTTGCATGTTGTATTTGTACTCAAATGTATGTTTTCACACATCAACAGGTCCTCCAACTCACACACGGATAGACTGTGAATTATTTTGCTCTCTATTATAGTGAGAAGAAATAAAAGGCAGTGTTTGTCTCACCAGCTTGACCATTGACCATTGTAGGCCTCTCTTCTTCATCCTCCTCCTCTGGGGCTGCACTGTCCTTCCTGTCCATCTTGCTGACTGAAGTTGTGCGCTTTCGTTGGACTTCATTGTCAAAATCTTCATCGAACAAGACCTGGTCCACCAAGTCCGGCTGTACAGGGCTCGGCTCGGCAGGCGGTTTAGGCGTTCCATAGTAGTTACCTGGGAAGATAAAATTTGATTTCGAAATCCACAAAATTCTCAAATAACAGATTATGCTGATCAAAAGGAAAGCCTTGCTGTCATCAATGAGTCACACTGATTGTATTTTTCCCATCCCACTTTTAGACTTGCAGCCTCTGGATAATGGTAGGCCACAAGTCTCCCTTTTGCTTTTTGACAAAAAAAATGGCTATTTGTCCAGTTTGTAGAGGTCCAGCCTCTGTCAGATTCTCAAAGCTAAACTTTACCGGTAAATATGTTGCCTTTACTTTGCATACCACATGCAGATTACTTTCCAATAAACTCTCTGAAATAACATTGTCACATAATCTTCAAAAAAACATCTCAATGATTATTCCAGCGTGCATGTTATGTAAATATTAGCGTATTATGATGCCATTTGACTCTGTAAGAAAAAACAATGATGCGATACATTGTTTATGAAAAATAAAGTTGTGAACGCATGAGATCCCCCCCAACCCCCCTTTAAATCCATCAGCCTTTTCTGTCATGTTGGCGGCGCCCAAGGCAGTGCAGCGCTAACTGCACAGAGCGAGTGTGCACAGTGCAGCATGAGACCAACTCATTTTCATCCTTCCTCAAATATACCAGCGGAGAGCTGACCTGCTAAGATGGGGGGAGGGGTGGTGGTGGTACTAAGTTACATTCAAGGAGCTCTTTGCTATAGTATAAATGTAAAATCAGACCAGAAGAGGCATCCCTGCACAAAAATGTGTTTTTGTCATACTCGAAGACTGGAGTAATCAAAAGTCTTATGTAACATGGCGGTACTCCTGTATTTTGTCATGCTCACCAAAAGAAAGTGCATGGGGACACCGATGAGATAAGGGACCGTGACTGCCGTAAGATGGATGCTGCGCTAATGTTACTGAGCTCATTAGTCACGATGCAAATGGTAGCTTCAGGAGATTTTTTGCAGTTTGTAGAGCAGTCTTAAACCACACAACCTTCGCGTTGATAGAGTCTACAGGCTATTGTTGTTTTTACTGATTTTATGAGTTTACTGTGCTTCTTATAATTCAAATATGAATAGTTCATACTGTAACTTAAGGAAAGAGTGCTCTCTAGGCCTCTACCGACAGTTTGTTTAGTGGGACGCACCCACAATGAAGCCAAAATAATGCATGTGATAATAAATATGAAAGGTGTGGGGCTCGAGTCAAATGACTTGCTTGTAGTCGTCAATTTTAAGGACCTGGAACTTGCTTGGCTAGAACTGATTTATTGACTTGACAAGTGTCCATGCATTTTGACAAGTGTCCATGCATTTTCAACATAGATTTTTGAAGGGTTTTTTTTTTGTCTCTTTCACACAAAGCTAGCAACCCACTGACCCACTATGACACACAGTGCAGAAGCTATTGAAACATATACAGTACTGTATTGTTGAAGGAACTTTGAAAATAATTACATTTGTATCCAAGTTTAGTTATTAATTACATAAAATCGGGAAAAAGAGAATGGTTATGTAGATTTGTAACTCAATGATAATGGACTAGGAATGAAACAAGTCCTTGAGTAATTCGACTACCTTGGTTCAAAAAATGCTCGAGGCAATTTTTTTTCTGCCTTGAGTACTCGCTTATTTATATGTGCACTGTAAGGAAGAAGTAGTCATCTAACCGCAGCAGCAATTGCTCATGTGATCGATACCTGACAGTAATACGCCGCCAACACTGGAAGAGGGCCAACTTCAAAATAAACCTTAGTTACTAAATAATATGTAGGCATCAAATGCCTCGGTACGCTTTTATTTTACAGTTGTTCCCAGCAGTGTGTCGCCGCGTAACGGCTGACCTAACTCCTCTTGCAGACTGTGTTTGAGAGGGGGTCGATTACAGCCATCATAAATTGTTGCTTCCGACGACAACAACACAATGTTGTCCTGATATTATGTTCAAGCGCAAAAAATAACCTTAAATACACCACCACTGTATTGTACGGTGCCTGTTGTCAGCGTTTAGCACTAGCTGCTCCACTTTCTAACTTTGAGAGCAGACCGGGAAATATACGGAATTGTGGACTGCCATTCATGCCTCCCGCCCCCCCAAAAAAATAGAGCTACAACTGGGCTGACAGGTGATCAGTCCAAAGTGTAGTTCAGCTCCAACCCATGTTCAGCTGGGACATAGACTCCAGCTTCCGTGTGACCCTAAACAGAAGCTGCAATGTGGCAAATATTCATTCATTCATTCATTTTCCGAACCGCTATATCCTCACTAGGGTCGCGGGGGGTGCTGGAGCCTATCCCAGCTGTCTTCGGGCAGTATGCGAGGGACACCCTGAATCGGTTGCCAGCCAATCGCAGGGCACACAGAGATGAACAACCATCTGCGGCCACACTCACACCTAGGGACAATATATAGTGTTCAATCAGCCTGCATGTTTTTGGAATGTGGGAGGAAACCGGAGTACCCAGAGAAAACCCATGCAGGCCCGGGGAGAACATGCAAACTCCACACAGGGAGGCCGGAGCTGAAATTGAACCCGGTACCTCTGCACTGTGAAGTCAACGTGCTAACCACTGGACTACCGGGCCACCTGTGGTAAATATAAGGATGGGAAATCCAGATGCATGGAATATGGTGAAAAATTCCTGCCATCTGCAGAACGGAGCAGAACAACTCTCACATGCCAGGATAGTATTTCACAATTTGCACCCAATATATGGAAATTTGAGAGCAAAGATACCGTAGACACAACTTAAATCACGAACAAGATGAATCATTATAAATCAACAAATGGCAGTGTTTCAGCCACAAATAAAATTGCTGCTCTCCGAAGAGATTTATTATTGGCCTGCCCGATTAACCTCCCCAAATACATTTGCCTTTATCTCCTTGCCAGCCACAGTCTGGACCCTCATTAATCATTGAGGATGGAGCTCCGCTCTCTGGGGCAGTGCCCAGTCTGCCCGGGCTCCAATTGTGATTGCCACAGCCTGAGGCACGTGAAGCCAATCTTGCTCTCTGTGCTTTGGCAAAGAGCTGTTGCACCGTTTCACTTGTATGGCGGCTGTGTGGCCAAGCTTCAGTTACCTATTCCAACTCTGCATTCCTCTGTTCCCAATCAGGGAGCATCGGGGGACATCTTATGAACAATACTACCCTTGACACTTGTCTATATGCCATAAAGAGAAACCCTTTTGTTGTCTCAAACTTGTGAGCAGTTGCCAGCACAGCACATCTGTACCCCCCCCCAAACTCTGTGACGTTTGGCATGCTGCCCTATTTCTATCTAATAAACAGTGATGCAGCTTTGCCTCGTGACTTTACAAAGTCGGGAACACAAACCTCGGTCCTATTTAGAAACTGTTGGCTTTGTGGAGCAGCATAACAGTGGGGTGGAACATTAAAACCCCTGTGCAATGCAGGTACACTTCATGTACACCTGACATGCGTTGTGTTGCAAAAACAAATGCATGCCATGCATGGGTTTTAAACCTGTGGCATGCATTCATTTTTACAACACAACGCATGTCAGGTGTACATGAAGTGTACCTGCATTGCACGGGGGTTATTAATTTCCAGTGAAGTTCATGATTCTCAGGGGGAGGATTATTTATTTATTTATTCTTGTTTTGTATTAACAAGGTTTTTATCATTTTCTTCCCAAGTGTTCATTGACAGACAAGCACGGACTACTGTAAAACCGTTGAGTCGGCTATCATTGTTGCCGCTGCCATTTAATAAATGCCACTGCATCATTGTAGTCACACACTGGTGTATGATGAAGTCAAGAACTCTAGTCTAAATATCTATCTTTATCATCACATTTCTTGGGCCCTTTTGGATAATTCATGTAATCATGATTAGTAGTGGGCAAAACATTTTGGAAGATGTTTGTCTTCTGTCGGTCCATTGTAGAAATCAAATTATAGGAAAAAAAAGAGAAACCCAAAAATTGTAGAGGATGTTTCACATGATCATCTTGAAGGTTATCGAGGTGAATGTATTCTCAAATTCTTCACAAGAAAGAAAGGCCAACAATTAATTGGATTTGAAATAGTCGTCCGTTCCTAAAGCTGCATCATTTATGTAACTGACTGACTGACCGTGGCCTGTGTGGCTTTTTGATGCAATGAAAACATCTGTTTTATCTGAAGGAAACTAATCCATTTAAGCACTACCACTACAGTGAAAAATGCATGCTGTATATGGTCATGGTCAATGTGACTCATCCATCCATCCATCCATTCTCTGAACCACTTATCCTCACTAAGCTCGGGGCTGTGTTGGACTCTATCCCGGCTGTCATTCGGCGAGAGGTGTGGGACACCCCGAGGTGGTTGCCAGCCAAACACACAATTTGATTGACACAGCACAGTTTTCACAATTTTACTGTCCAAAGTGCTGTAAAAAAACAATGTATACAGATGTTCACTGTGAGGCTCAGCAATGCTAATTCTTTGGTCAATGATCAGACATGTCCCTTTTTTTTGGTCTTTTTTCCGCTTTAGTCACAATATACAATATTGCCATTGAGCGATTATAATTAAACCTCTGGGAGCTTGTGACTGTTGGGTATCAATATAAGGATGCTTGTGCTGCATTATGACAGAAAGGGCAGAGTAACTCTATTTCTCGTCTTGCTGACTGGTTTACAGCTTCAGGGATGAAGGGCCGGTCACCAGCGGCCCATTGGGACAGAGAGCGGACAAAAACATCACATAGCACCCACACTGCGCGCAAATCACCTTGGTATGTACAGTCGAACCTTGTTTCAACGTACCCCGTTTACGTTTTTACTCCTATAATGCTCGCATTTCAAAGTCCCGAGTTCACATAATTCATTTTCCATTTGCCGCTTTTGCTTACAACGAACACCTTTATAATGTCAACTTCATTAGAACGACGGGATTTTTTTCCCACAAAATAATGAAAAGGTGTTCGTTAGAACGAACCGTGGGAAGCTAACTGCCACCGCGACCTTGCTTGTAAACAAAATGCACAGCGCGGGATCCCCCCATTGCCTATTTT